TGGACAAGTCGTCGAAGCGTTGTACGTTTAATTCCCTCAAAGTCAATTAATCGATACAGCTAATAAGTAGCCCTCGTGACGACGAAATTCGTGTGGGTATTTCAAAGAAAAATCGCCTCGTCCTATTAATTAACCCTCGAATAATGAGTGATGACCCAGACCTTTCTGTGTAGAGTAGAAAAAATACCATCGAAATAAACAGCGTTACACGGTAATGATCGCGTGAAACGAAGAAATCTGTTGGATCAATTCCTCGGAAGAAAGCGATTCGTTTTAAAATCTCCATCGAATGGTGTGACGATTTAATTACGATCGAGCGTGATATCAGAACACGCATAGGTGCGTGCGTGTGTGCGTGCATTAAGAATACATAAGAAGGTGCGCGCGAGGAATAGAAATGCAGACACGCTTACTGAAACGTTCGCACGCGCAATCTGGATTACACTTGCATCGTCACTATTACTTGAACAGTTACACTTTCACCCGAAGAAAGAAAGAAAGAAAGAAAGAGCGGTGATTGCAGTGACGGGGAAATGATCGTTGAAAGGAGCTTCTTATTCAAAATATGCACTCTCTCTCTGCAGCACGAGTTGCATTAATGGCCACGCGATCGAGCAACACTCGGATGAATACGTTTCTTAGATAATACCAGAGCATTATTTCGCTGGCTTGCGTTTTCATGAACGCGAACAGCCACGAATACGCGTTACGAAAGCGGCTCGATACGGGTACACGATCGGTTTAACCAATTATCATTTTATTTAATCATTCCGCAACTGAAGCGAAGCGAATCGGGACCAACCGCGAGCCGATTCGCTAAAGCGATTTCCCACGGTCAAATTCGACCGGATAAAAAGTCGATCCATCGATCTACGTTCATGGACGACTCGAATCGAGACAACCTTCGACTTTGATCGGTTCGTTGCAACCTTCCGGCCACGACCATGCGGGAAATTCAATTCCCTTTCATTCTTCACCCGATATCAACGAACGGTTATTTTCCTCGAACTTTAAGCTTCAAATTGATACGCGACAAGCGTTATTTCCCGGTATTTTTATGTCATCGCGTGCCTTTCAAAATCAATTATTCGATACGCAACAAGTAACATATGTAGGAGTAACGTTTTCCCAGCGATTTGCGTTAATTCACCGCCGATGGAAAGGCGGTATCTGACCGTGGACGAACCGCAAAACCGGTCGTGTGCACCAGCATTTCGAAACGTCGAAGAAAGCTTGTTTTAATCGAGATAGCCGAGGTCCCTCCGCGGCCTTGCGCGTTCACAAGCAACGATAAACCAGGTGATTGGCCGAGAGAGGGACTTTCTTTTCAAATCGCGCCGGCAACGCGATTTCGTGAACGCGAAAAACAATGCGGAAATTTTCTCCGCCGTCGAACGTGCATCTCTCATTGTTTTACCCGACGACGATGATGATGATCGTCTACGGTTGCTCACGGAGAATGGAAAGGAGTTGGATTTAATTATAACAGGCCTCTTTCCACGGGCAAAACCACCGCGTCGGTAAATAGAAAACAAAACACCAACAGATTACGCGCCGATGAAAGTCGAAGAGAAACGTTGGTAAGCGCGAGCTATCTTCGCCTACTGTGTCGCTTAACGAGTTCCGTGAAATTTCCGAGTTTTTCAAAGAGATTCGAAACTAACTTGATAAGGTTACGTCGTAACGATTAATTAACGCGTTAATTAATCGAGAATCGTATCTACGAAACGTTGCCTTAGGAAAATCTCCGTCGAGCATCGTCCGATGAATTACGATGTTCCATCGTTTTTCTGTATAACATGCTCGAAGTATCTATTTCTGGAAAAGCGGGGTCGTGAGACGTTACCCGGAGTAAATGCATCGTCGAAAATAACTAGAGGATCGCCTACTCGAATAATTTTCAAGCTCGAACGCAACAATCGAGGGGAACGCTGCTTTTCTAGACGGTTTCACCGTGAACCAGCCAAAATATCAAGATAAAAGAAACCTGCTGCGTAATTGAACCGCGCGTGATAGTTTGCGAAATTACTAACATTTTCTACATTCGATTTGCCAATAAGCAGAAACTTATTTTGAACCGATGCGACGCATCGTGATGCAGCAAGTTGAAGCGTATGCAACATGGTGGAAAATAATCAAAATTCGTATATTCGTTTACTCTACTGTTTTAACAACGGGTTTAACGAAAGCCAATAGGGAAATTTCCGCGGTTCGCCTAGAACTTCACCTAGTTTCGATATGGTGCAAGTTCGCGTGCCACCCCAAAGTAGCCAAGGTACGGTAGACGAAGAAAACACGAAGAAGAAGATACATGGGTCCGCTCGGTCGCGTTTAGAAATAGTTATTGCGCACACCGGAGGAGCATCGTATTACGCCGTGGCACAATAGAAATAAATATCGTATTTAAAGAATCGCAAGCGCCTGGACTAGTTGACAGATTTTATACACCGTCACGCGTCGTCGCTAACGAGCGGAAGAAACGGGCTCCGATTGAGGCGTGCTTTTCTTCGTCGTTACCAAATTTTCGCGAATATCCTGTAGAGGATCTCTGGCGTCGACCCAATCGATCGTCGCCTTTTTATTTTTACCGAGTCTCCGCTTTGGTTCGGCGCGGAGAAAAACGCTGGATGCGATGGAAAGTGCAACGAGCACGCGCGTCGCACGTCGAGGTAATGCACGTACAGGCGCGTCCTTGAAATTCCAAATTCGCCCGCCATAATAAACGCGTCGGTCGTGCGATCATTATGCGCGTACGCGCGATCTATGCAAAGCGGAACCGGAGCTGAAAATCGCGATCGAAGATCGTACGTTCGGCGGTACCGAAAAGTTAGCATAAAACTCGGAACGGAAAAGATAGCGATAGTTACTTGAAAGCGTGTAGTCGATTACGTCAGAGGGGAAAAAATTTCCAACGGTGCAGCGATCGTATAATCGGCGGGGTTACTCGGAACAAAAGATGTTTAATTTCCCGTGATTACGTTGCAACGCAAATTTCCCTATCGATTTCTACGTTCGAGGCAGACAGGCATATGGACGCGCGAGGATTCGTTCAACCGGCTAGGCCTGGGTGAGAACAAACTTGCATAAAAAGTGAAGGTGACCGGCGGTGATTCATGGGGGCTGATGCCCTCGTTGTCTGGCATTCGGTTCGTAGAGGACAGAGGTGGAGCAGGAGGTGGAGGGTCCTTGCAACCGTACGACTCGTCCAAGTGGCGCTCGCACACCCGACACGCTCTTTGTTTTTCGTCACCGAAGAAAATTCGATCTGCCTGCCAGCACGCCTACTAACCCCATCCTAACATCAATTTTTCTTTTTATCTATGTTTTTTTCTCTCCTATCGCGAAAATCGAAGGCAGACTTATTCGCAACACGTTCTGCGCGTTCAAGGCGCCATAGTCAGCTTTTTTTCGTTTGAATTAGAGCAACGATACCCATGGTTTGCTCGCAACATTGCCACGAGGGCAAATTCTTCAACAGGCTGAACCTGCTTTTTGATACCCTAAGGCTACCGATTGCCAAAATAACAATTTAGGAGAAACGTGGGAAGATAAGGGTGCTGTAACTTCGGCCACTTTATGCAATATGTATGTTGCGACGTGTCGCGACATCGATCAATGCCGTTCCTTGATACTTTAATTAACGACCACGTTACACCTATCGTACCAGCTCCTCGAGTGGAACTTTGACAAATAAATAGCCCTTGCAATAAAATGAAAAGGAAACCTACGTACTTGCATCGAATCGCAACGATAATCTTCTTTATCGATTCCATGCAAAGAGAAACACGTATTACGAGTAAGGTGAAATGACGAAAGGAGGCGAAGCGGTCCGCGTGGTCGCGCGACGCAATCTAATCGGTCGCACGGCGAAAGGGTGCGTGGTTCGGGCCGAAAGATTTGACGCGATGCACCCAAGCGTCGAGTGGGGAAGTGTAGGATAGTCCGAGAAGGGGAAGAGGACCGGCGGAGTGGGGATGAAACGGTCGGCACTCTGACGCAGAACGGGCTGTCAGTGACTACGGGTGGGGATGGAACATAAACCGAGCATAAACCAGGCATAAACCTTCCCCCGGCGGGTGGATCTGACCCCACCATGGTGAAAAACCTTCTCACTAGCACAGGATCGAAGGCACAACGCCGGCAGACACGATCACGTACACACGGACACACGTGACCGCTCGCGTCAGCGTTCCTCGCATCAAACTCCGAAGCCAGAGCACATTGGGGCCAAGACGGCAGTCGCGAGTCTCGCGCAGCGTGCAGTCAGTTTGCAGTCGGACACCGTACCGAGTGGAGCTGCGTTTTCTCCGTGCAACACTCGTGTTTCCGTCTTGTCGTTTTCTAATCGGGGCCAGAATCTCTGTAACAGCGGACCTGTCTTGACGTACCTACACACGCACAGACTAGACGCTCGAGTTTCTGTCACCTGATCGACAGAGTTCAAGTTCATCGGAGTAAAACCCGTGCATCTTTGATTCGGCAAATTTTAATTATTCGCTCAGTGTTATCTCTCTTCGTGTGCCTTTAGAAAAAAAAATTTTTTTTTTCTTCTCTCATCGTCGAGTACGTTTGCCAGAGAATCATTGACACTCTCTGTTCTACCGACTTTATTTCCGTTTGGTTTGATTTTGGTGGTGTCAACGTTTGACGCAAGAGGAAATACAATCCCGCCTGCTGGATTAAAACCCGTTCGTCTGAACGAAGAGGCTACGATCGCGAGACGCGATAACAGAAGCGTTATTATGACGGTGATTCTCGTTACGTTACTTCGACAAACGGGATACTTAACGCTCAGCCAGTGACTGTCTCCGTGTAACGCGGATAAATAAAAAAAACATTTTCGAACGATCGACGAGTGCTGATCGCGCGCCGTGTCTGCGTTCAACGATCAGATCGACCAGGCAAAAGTGGATCGCTGTTCTGTCGTTCGATCGTGTTCCAGAGAATCATTCAAAATTGGTGAGTAAAGGTCGATTTGCCTCGAATTTTTACCAAAAGGATTCTACACACACGGAACCTCGCTCTTTATCGTTTCTCTATTTTTTCCCCGATTGTTTATTCATCGCGACCAGCGATCGGCCTTGTAAATATGATTTCCAGAAGGGAAGCTTATCAAGCCAGCAAACTTGTCACGCGGTGAACAGGACTTTGAACTTAAAATCTCGTCGCAGTGTCGCTCGTTAAAAACAATTGTCGCGATGTTAAAAAAAAAGAGAAAAAAGAAGAAGCACCAAATTAAACAGTGAATCGCTTGGAATTTTCACCGATTACGAACGTGACGCGACGCGGTTATTTTTAGGCTCATCCGTTCCGAAATGATAAGGCGTCATTGAAAAAGTTGCAAAAACTTGAGGGAAGGGAGTGGGAATGATCGAAGAATAAAATCGCGGCGATTCCGTTTCGCGATGGTAAGAAAAGGAGCATGAATCGTCCCGCAGGCTCTGACCTTCGAGCGGATCGAGTGACGCAACGTCTGCAATTCGCGGGCGCAATAAACCTTGTGCATTCATTGTTTTCGTCTCGATCGATCTCACGTCGCGTCGTCGCGTATCTTATCACCGCGCCTTATCGCCTCTGAATCACGCGTTGCTGCTGTCGGACCGGTCAACGGTGAAAATAAATGAAAATCATTAATTTCTTTTTTTCCTTTTCGATGAATTGCGAGTAGAAGTAGGCGAAAGAAATAAAATCGAGTAATAGCAAAACGAAGCGAGAAAATACCTGACGCTTACGAAAGTCTCGTGCAACGCGTGAGTCGTGAGCAACGCGGCACAGCTCGTTGCGTCATTCGTAACGAAGCAAAGAGGATTCTGATCCTTATCTCTCTCTAGCCAACACGTACAACCTAGCCGTTTCCCAAAATTTTTCGACGCTTTGGGAAAAAATATTTCCAGTATCGGCAGCTCCAGACAATGGAGAAACTCTCGAGGTAGGAATTCATGTTTATGGACTGGGTGACGTAAGGGGTCCGTTTTGAAAGAAAACGTTTTTGGGGAACGGTCCTAAGATAAAACTAACCAAATATCCCTGCGAAGGATACTTAAACGTATTAGATACTTTTCGTTTTCTTAAGTGACACACATGTGGTGGATTTTAAATATCCGGCTACCATTCGAAAGATCTCGATTGAGATCTGTGATATTGAAAAAAACCCTTCGAGATAAAACAGTCGTCTCCGTGTGTAATAACGAAAGGCGACATTTATCGAATGAATTTTGAAAAGATCCACGTGATCGATACCACCTCGAAAAGGTTTCGATCGATCGCGATCGTCGTCTGAAACGGGAACTGCCCCCTCCTCGTTTTCTGGTTCGCGTTTCGCGCTCTCTATATCCCCCCATCCTTCATCGATCCCACTACTACTTGTCCTCTCCGCCGTGATCGTGGTCGCCACCTTCTCTCTACTCTATCGTGGCCCCCGAAGTGGGCCACGGCCTAATTTGCAGAACTCTCAGCCTCGTCGTAGCGTAAAGCAAGCGTGTGTAATAAGCTTCACGGACTTGGAGCGAAGGGCACGCACGTGTATGAACGTACACGATACTTGGCTTCCTTCCTTCTAGACTCGCAATTATACCAATTTCTTTTCCCCGATCGCGCTCCACGCTTATCACCGAGTATATAGGATAAGTATAGGCTTGGATATCGATAAATTTCGAGAAAGGAAATGCAAACACGGTCGAGAAATTTTAACTAGAGCAAAATTTCCCTGTCGTATCGCGGCAACGCGGTGAAATGTCTCGAACGAGATACGTCTGTATAGACGGATGAGGTCAGTCGTGAACCCGGGGGGACTCGCGTTACGTGCATTGTTGCACAGCCTCGGTTATCTCGATCGGTCGATCTAGATTGTGTTTGGTGTCACATCAATCCGGATTAGCGGTATCTACGCTCCGCGGTAATGCATGACGCGAGCGCGTGTTATATTAGCTCGCGCGGAGACGCGCGAGCGCAGTAGCAGCGTAAACGTAGACGACTACGAATCGCGGAGCCGATATACCGTTTCCCTTCCAAGCTTACGCCGTATATCTAATAGCGGTGATACATTGTGAATCTTGCGTCATCGATCGCGATCTTACGAACGTTTTCGATCGACATAATCGCGCATCCTGTTAACAGGTAAGAAGATTTAAAAATTTTCTTTCATTTAAAACAATCACGGGTAAATGGATTTCGCGAATAATATCGTGAGACGATTCCGAATCGAGTTTCTTTGATCGGCGTGATCGAGCAGTCGACGGTTTATCAATCATATTAGGAAATATCAAGCTCTCCGTTGTTCCCGATGACCTTTTCGCGTTTGTATTATGCAACGAAGGTGAATGGTCTAGCGTAACACAGCGTGTGCACGTGTAGGAGTCACGTGGCGGGTGAAGGCGCGCGCGAACAGCTTAGAAGAGGCACGTTATCGAATAGTTATGCGTATCGGTTAATTATGAAAGGAATTTTTATTTATCGTCAAGTTCGGCTAATGAACTTGATACTTGAAAATGATTTTTTCTTTCTCTCTCTTTTTCATTTCATTTCGTTTGAATTTCAAAACTATTCGCCAACGTTGAACGAGAAAGGGAGCTGATTTCTTCGGTACATACCGAGCGAGTTGCATCACGCCAGACCGCTTTATTTATTCTTTAAGCCGGTGTCTGTTTCTCTGCAGTGATTGTTTATCGGTCGAAACGCCCACCGCGAACCGATCGCTTCTCCTATCGTCCTTTCCCTCCCATCATCGATCGAAGAAACGTTGAACGTGTTTACTTACGTATCGTGTACCTACTTACTTACGGTTGTCTGCTCGTTTTCTCTCCCGCTCCGACATATCTTCCACGTGTTCGTTACGTAATGAACGCTCGGTAGGAAAACGTATATCCACGAGAGGCTAACACGTTACCGCAGGTCACGTGTCGGCCGACGAGAAACGCGAACGTATTGCGCGCGTAAGCTCACGTGGAACGCGTGAAAATTTAGAGATAACCGATAATTACGTGGATGACGGGACCGAAAATGCTCTTTGTACTTTGCCATTGTCCTACCTTAAAGGCCGCCCTCCCCGCGTCGCGCATGTTCTTAACGATAACACACGACTTTTCATCTATTGTTTGCCCTCGCTCGAACGCACCAGATAAAAGCCCTCCCCGCCTCGTACAATTATTATCACCGATCGACGAGTAAAAAGAATCGGGATCGACTACGTGTTGCGCGCAGCCTTGGAAGGTTAAGAGTTTGAAGAAGTTAGCCACTCACAGGGTGACTCAGATTTCTATAACATTATTTATATTCCAAACGACTCGCTTAGTCACTGATCAGTTCCTTATTTCCGTTTATTACATCACTCTGCTCCAGTTTTTCCTATCAAGATTCTTCCGACTTATCTCACGATTCTATAAAATAGAGATCAAAGTTGAAACCAAAAAGTCGCGCTTAGTGCTTCTTACAGCATCGAAACGAGATTTTAATAAAGATGGATACGAACGTTATTTAATTTTTCCTTCGTTGCGTCATGTTACATAAAATTTCTTAACATTTAAATGGCTGAAAAATGTACGTATATCTCTCAAGGTCTTATCCTTCCGAAGTTTCAAGGTTTCTCGTTTCGACATTTGGCCGTAATCGTTTCATCGAACCGTAACGACGAAATAGATGAAAGATAAATAATAATTCAAACGAATCGGCTGTTTAAAATTCAACAGGACGCGTGTGTGCGTACCGTGACAGGAATGAACAATGTAGCTCAAAGAGAAAGAGAGAGAAAGAGGGTCACGTGTTTTTCCCTTTTTTCTTTTTTTGTGTTTTTCAGTTGGCGGTCGCGTTATCGCGGGCCAATTGCATAATGAGCGGGAAACGAAATCGGAGACCGGTTCGAAATGCCTGTGTCGGTCCGATAACGGTATCAGTGCTCGTTGTTACGTGAGCGCTGACCGCAATCGTAACACGCACGGCCAACCGGTATACATATACAGACGCCCTGTATATCGGTGAGTGGCTGCTGGCATTGTGCACATGCCTTTATGTGTACTGTACTTAAAGTTCGACGTACTCGAGAAACTATTTCAAGCCCTCCCGCTCTATCGTCGCATTTTTGGAACGCTGCTACTCATCCGCCTGTTTGTTATTTAACGCCTCGAATGCCGTGGGGGTCACCGTTGATCGTCGCCGCAAATTAACCAAAAAATTTCACAAAATTAATCCCATAATCTTCTTTCGTTATCTATGTACGAATACGATTCGAAAATAGGCACGAACTGTTCTCGAATATCTTCGGAATATTCGATAAGAAGATAACGAAGATTTCTGATATATCATTAACGCGATGGTTAATGAGATCTTGGAAACGATAAGCAGCGTGATTGAATGAAGCTAGCAAAGCAAACACGCCTCCTAACGCGTTATGTAACACCTTATCCGTACACGGGACAACGCGTGTTTCTTCTATGATCGCGAATAAAAAGACGGTTCATGGAATCTACATCCTTAGTAATTTTATTTTTCTGTCTTTTTTTTTATCCAAACATATAACATTCGTGTAGACGATCGGAGCAAACGTTATTTAAAATTCCTTTGCATAAATTATTTTAAAATTGCCGTTATATTACTTGGAAATAAAGTAAAGAATAAGATAAGGAGCTAAATTGACACGTGGTTGAACAGCAGGAATTTGGTAACTCGCGAGTCCAGTTTTAGGATAATGGGACGGATAACGGTCGGGTCCTTTAAATCGTTGATAAGAGAGGGAATAGTTTGTCGAGTCGTGAGAGACAAGATGGAAAAGAAGGAACGACGAAGAGAATAGTGGAGTGTAACTATACCGCACGCGACACGCACACACGGTGGCCTTTAAACAGAAAGAGAAGAAGTGTGCTTTTGTCGTTACATAATCGTGCGTCACGCACTCGAGTTGATACAATTTAGGCCATTCGAAAGAAAAGATGAAAAAGCGGTTTAAATTGGCAGTGTTTAGCGAAGCACCGTTACGTCGGCCGATTTTCGAACACACCCGGTATATCAGCTGACTCACGTAACTCGACTGTCGAATCAACTAGCCGGTTACAATTGTCTCTTTGTACGGACACCGATTCAAGACCAGATGGCTGAACTAATAACGAACGCAAGGATTATTTCCAGAGCGTACGTGTGTTCGCATGCGAAACGTCTTCGTCGAAAACTAATCCCGTGAACGGACACTGAAATATCGTGCGAATATATTTCCGCGAAGACCGAGAGTGGAACTGTGCTGGTTGCATTTGCATTTGCCACGTTCCTCGAAAAGAGCCGACCATAGGAAGAAAAAAGAAAAAAATGTATTCCTGCTAACCCCGGGTCACGATTGATCGCTACTCGTCACGCGGTATTTCGCGACTTCTCGCCGCGAGACTTGTCTTTTACGTAATCGGGCAGAAAATCGAATCGGTTAAAGGGTTTCCGTGTTTCTCCGTACGAGGAAACGTTTCCTCTCGCTGCTCGTTCCAGGAAAAGAATTGCTAATAAGCATTTTATTGGTTAAGAAAACGAAACCGACGTCGTGGGTCCACGTGCGCGGCCACGATCATTGCGCAATCCTGCTGACGATTAATATACACGTGCACGCGTGACAACGAAACCCGTGTCCCCGTTCACGCATAATCTTTTTCCTCCACTTTCGACAAATTAACCGGCCCCTGATACTCGTCATTCCCACTGACGCGTAAACACGCCTCCCCTTTTTCAGGATAAAAGATACAGAATTATCGAACCTTCGATAAAGTAGCCGCTAATAATAATCGATGTGTTTCGTTTCGAAAGGCCCGCTTATCCACGGCATATTATAAACAATTCCCTTACCTACTTACAAATACTCCTATCGTACTTCTTTTTCTTTTTCTATTTATAACGCGTTATCTACGCGGAGCTGGCTTGTTACATCGTAACACGTAATTTTCGATTAGTCGCCTACTGTACACGACGGATTACAAAATAGAAACCCGAAACGATAAAAAAAGAAGAATAAACAGGATATTATGCACTTGCGTCATAGGAATTATTCATCGCAGCGATATTAATAGCATCGCGTTTGTATTTATGATTTTTTCCTACTACCAACGAATTCTACTCGCACAGATACTAATCTCGGCTGCTGATGGAAAGAAAAAACTCGCTCGGTGTACGTACACGTTGTCGTTTAAATTGCGTCACGAGTTACTGGAGCTTACGATTAGTGTCACGTTGCGCAACCGATCGACACGGGTGCACGTGACGCACGCGGATCGATCTAATTGCGATTCATAATTGAAGAAACTTGCCGCGAATTCAACGCGTTATTTTCGCCTGTTTGCACGAGCGAAGAGTAAACGCGTGTCCGTACTTTGAACGAAAAGCGAAACACGATTTGCCCGGTTCGAAAGGCACGTGATTTCTGCGTCGACGGCTAGGTAGGTCGCAATCGTTATCGAAAGCGTCCAATTTCAGATGATACGAAACGCGTGTTCCAACTATCGATTTCAGTGGAATTTCCTTTCGATTACGCGTCGGTGGTTGCATCAGAGCTATGTTCGAAAAGAAAGGAGGTACACGAGTGTTCTATCGTTTCTCGGTTTACCAGAGTATCGACAGTGATGTTTATTGGTTACGTAGAAACAAGCGCAATTGTACGAAGAAAACGTTTAACGCGAGTAACGCAGCTCGGATCGATTCCAACGCTTACCCAATGCTACGTAATTATTTCGTGTGTGCGTGACGCACGCCAAGGGTCCGCTATTATTATCCTGCATGGAGAAATATTGACCCCGAGACATAAAACGAAAGCTACATACTCGCGATCGGTACCCCTATCGATACGATCTTCGCGTATACCTATGCTGATTTCTGCAATCGAACGATTTCGTCACGATATATGTACCGCGTTTTCTATAATTGCCGTTTTCATCGGTTTTTTATGGAAACTGTAACCCGTTCGAGGTTGTATCATTATTCCGATCAGGTCCTTAGACCTTCGGTAATTACGAATCGTAAGCAAGGTTTACGAGGAGCTGTAAAGTTGCGCCACCGTCGTCGCGGCACGTGTGCGTTACAGCCGATAAATTTTCGAGAAAAGGGCGACAACCTCGTCTCTCGTTACGTTCCTGGTACACGCGCACGTGCGTGCGCCTATGTATTTACATGTACACGGCTGACAAGCGTGTAAGCTCTCAGGCTCCCGTTAGTGCATGCTAATATACACGTAAAGCAACATGTAATGGCTAAATATGACTCACCAAGAACGTGTTGTGTAGCAGCCCGAGCCTCCGGGTGATTCGGTTCCTCCCAACTGGTCAGACGAGGATGGATGATTTTACCGGTCATCGAGAAACGTAATTTTCTTCTTTACCTGTAATAATGCAAAAATCCGTTGGAAAGCGATGCAATTTTTATCGACGAGCTTCTCAGTTTTCCTTCGAGACCAAAGGATGGCGTTTAGCGTATCGTTTTTAGAACTAGCATCGATAGATCATAGGTTGCTAAGGTCGTTGACTTTTATCGACACGAAAGCTCGATCGGTCATGTTACGAAACTAGAGAACGACCAAAGAGGACTCGGGCAACGCGCAGACCTGTTGAACGGAAATGCATGTGGGTTTGATTTCAAAACAGTTCTTGGATTGTTGTATTACGTGGATGGGAAAATTCGGTGATTTGAATAATATCTGTGTTTTGCAATCGTTCGACGAAATAACGCGTATACCGGTAGAACGTAGGATGATGGCTATATATGCATTTCGTCACTACAGAAATTTACGTGGGCGGTATTTTTGCCCTGGCAAAAATCATTGGATCGATAGAACTTGCTGCGACGATATGAGTCACCCGAACTCCTGTATACGTAACTTTGCCAGTGAAATTCCAGCTGATTGCTCAATTTCGAACGGACTTCTAAACTGTACACAATATTTGTGGCGTTGTAACTAATTCGGAATTCATTTTTCGCGTTTGAAAGCCTGTTACGAGATCACGCGGTGGAATATATTATAAAATTAATTTTCTTATTTATTTCCAACTGCTTATCAAACACGGTATATTTTCAAAAAAATTAAGAGGAAAATGGTAAAGGTCCATAGCCTAACTCGTTAACCCTTCAGTGCCCTCTGGCGAGCAATGTCGAAACATCATTTCCAAGTTCGCGCATAAAAATTAGAATTGCATACGTTTCTACTTTATAAAATGTCGGTATATCAACCGCATTTCCTGGAATCTCTTAAGTGAGACAGGTTTCTGACTAACCATGACACAGCTTCTCTAGAGATAATTTAAGGTACAAGATACATAATCGATAAACGAAAGGACGCTCTCAACGGATTACGAAACTATAATTGTGAGGTCGTGTAGACACGTTGCTTGACTAAAAGTAGGTGATTAAAAGAGATTCACGTATGCTGACATATTTACCGGGATAGTAAGGGGCTTCTACGGTACAAGAAGTTGACATTCACTTCCAACAAACGAGCACGTGGACATAGAAAACTCACGAGTATACGATGCAACGAAACCCTTATGTAACGTGGCCGCCTGCTTCAACGATTAATTCAGATGATCGATCTATCGACTTTGCTATCTCCCTTCTTTGCGTTTAACAATGAAGCTACCCTAACCACTTACGCTTACAAATAGAATTTGACTACTTTTTTACCAAAAATAAGATGGTACAATCGAATTTATATAGGAAATGCGAATAATTGGATAAAATATGGCGATACATACCTATAAATGACGCGTTCGAGAGAGGGTAGAACAGGCGGAGGAATTCCACATCTGTTTAATCCATCTTCATGTAATAAACACACACTTTTCACTTGTACATGCTGTCATACATTGCTCGTATGATTTAAATAAATATTTTCACTTAAAACGACCGTTTACCGAACTTTAATCGCTAATTTCCGTGGGCACGTGCGACTAACAAGACTTGGCGTCAAGAATAACGTTACTTCCGGTCTCGAAACTTTTTCTGCGATACTTGAACTATTGCAGCGATCTCGAAAGGTTCGTTCGATACTCGAAAAGCTGCGCGCGCAACTTCGGTGCATAGCGTTCTTTGCGCCAAAATTATAGCCTCGAAAAATATAAATTATATTTTAACAGATGAACAGATGAATACAATTTCGAAACTTAAACAATATTTCCATATTAAAAATACCGAAGGTTGGATAAATAAATATATCCACGATACGATACATACGTAAACGGCCGGCAACTACGTTGCAGCACGTGGCACGTTTTCCCGAGACACACGTGCTCCCTTACATAACTGCAACTCGCGTTTGAATTAATGTTCGCGCATTTATCAAGGATGTACATAACACGAAAACATTCGCGACTCGTTTAACGAGTGGACATAACAACAAATTATTTTTAATTGCCCGGTTACATGTAACTTCATTAACGAGTCAAGCTACGATTTGCCGATCAGATCAATTACAGTCAACACGACGGATTGCAACAAAATTATGACCTTATTGTATTTGCCTAGTATGTTACGATAATTGGCGGAAAGAGCACGCGTTAATTACCTTTATAAATTAATATTTTAATGCTATTACAATCGCACGTACCTCACGTTCGTACGGGGGGGTCCGCCATCTTGGATTCACACAGGAAGTCAAAAGTATCTTTACGTATGAAATTTCGAATATCATCAAACTTTCTAATTTATTTCTCTCTGATTTATTTTTAAATTAAAAAATGAATATTTCTCATAGAAATGTGCATATACACATTTTATATAATCGTTCGTTTGACCAATGCAAACTACACAGAAAATGGCGCCAAAATCTAAATTATTCAAACTCAGGTAGAGTTGTAGCTCGATTATTCAAAAGTAATTTTCTGAAAGACGGGTAATGTTTTGAGGGGCAATGTTCGTCGCTGAGTTCACTGACATTTTCGACCTTGAGGAACCCGACCTTACCCAAGGCTATTTTGCGACTTCTCGTACTCGGACCGGTATTGTTGGCAGTACGAGCACGTCTTTCGATCTCTTGGAATTCTTCACCTTTGCTCGTCGGTGCCGCTCTCACTGTATAACGGTTACGAAAGCTTTACCACCAGCTTTTCCCCGGTGGATTTGATTCTTTGTCATCACACCTACGTATATTTAAAAAGGATCGCCTTCGAGCCACCGAAATACATAATGCGATAGATCAATAGAACACTGTAGACATTGGAAATCATTATATAAACGATTTAACGCAGTTAGTGTGCTCTCGTAAAAACTCTGGGTAAAAATGTATTGTTCCTCGAATCATTCATCCTGTATACAGAGCGTGCACCTTGGACAATACACTTAACAACGCATTATTGCTACTTGACAATCTTCTCTATTGTTTTTTTTTCTTTTTTTCGTTTTTCAAATATTTGTTCTCATAGATAAGAAACTTTGTAACGAGATAAATGTCTGATAACATTATTACATGTTGGTAGTTCGATTCGACTGAAAATGGCTCGCAGATAAAACTATATTTTTCAAGCACTCGAGTGGTGTTTCACTCGATTACTGCATTGTAAAAAACCGATCAGTTGAATAGACATACATTTGAATTGCATGATGCGGTTAATTAAGCTAGGTGAATGAACAATCGTTCCTAGAACTGAGTCATCATTGAATATATATATATATTGGAAATAAATTCTGTTTTGAGGAGGAAATAAACTTGAGGAAGGCTCAAGAACGAATGAATATTATTTATACAAAGGGATTATCCCTTTCTCGAGGGTGGTACCAACTCTATCGATTTCGCCGGAAGCCTAGCAGCGGCTACAGATAATTGGCCTTCGATTGTTATCGGCATAACGAATAAATCAATTATATTTTGCATCCACGCGTAACAGTGTTATTCGACGTGTTATATCGGTTATGACGATCGGTTTTCATAAGAGTGCGTCATAGAGGGGTAATCAGGATGATTTGATTACAATTCTTGGATGAGGCTCTGTTATAACATTATTGAGCGTTATGTGTCACGGGAAAAGAATGACCACATTGAATCACGTCGAGGATAGCGGTCGATCGAATCACACAGGTCGTCTAATTCGAATCCGGAAATATGATCGCAGATAGAGCTCGCGTAATTGTTGATCGCGGGAGTGGAAAAAAAAAGGTAATCTAGGAAAGGCCGTTTATTGAAAACTTCTCAAGAGCGTTTTCCTTCTTCCTGATTCCGTGATGACCTTCTTTTTATAATGGTCCCCGTCATTCGAGCGTTGCGTGATACCGCCGTACAAGGACTACATTTGGTACGTGGCTAGGATCGTAAACGTGCTTGCTGGAACGTGTACTTTCTGTCACATTGGATTAATAGATGTTCGGTTTAGACGTCTGGAAGGACACTGCGTCCAAAACGGACAAGCACACGATGGAACAATGCGGTTGAAATGGTATTCACCATTTTCAGAGCGTGATACGTGTTCCTGTTTGCGTGCAAGTTGTAACGTTGTACAAGAAAATGCACACTCGTTCGAAGCAAACGGTTGTTTTGATTCTATTCGTGTCGTAGCGTAACTAGATTAATGCGATGCGGGGGTTGCTCGACATCGGCATCATCGTCATCATCATCGTATAATCATTTGGCACGCTGCGTTACTTTCGTCACCGCCGTTAATAAACTCGAGAATCGTTCTCTTCGGTATTTGACATTTAGACCCGTTAGACAATACACGATGATTCTTGTTAATTCCACGGCCGTTTCGTTCACCGTCGCCTCGCGCGATATTTTATGCATACATTTCTCTCGTGTTTCTTCATCGCGTTCGGTCGCTAATTCTTATCTATTTCTTTTACAGATGTACTAAGAAGACAAATTATGGTGGCAGAATTTGTCGCCCGTCAGAGTGGATCACCGATCAACGGTGAGACCGCGTGTCTGAACAGCAACATGCCGGCCACCCACACAATGGCACACGCCGGCCACGGTGGTCATGGTGGACACGATGCTCATGGACCTTTGCCACCACTGACGCATCCTTCGCACCATGGTGGGCCACCGTCCATGCAGCAGCAGCAGCAACACCAGCATCCACCTCAACAGCCACCGCCGCAACAGCAACAGCCCCAGCACCACCATCACCACCATCAGGCTCAGCAGCAACAGGCCCAACAGCAGCAGCAGCAGCAGCAGCAGCAGCAGCAGCAACAACAACAACAGCAGCATCAACAACAACTTCATCACGATGCCCAACAGGTGACACACCCTGAAAATTTCCCCCCGAACTTCGACATCAGAAAAGAGCTATTTTCTCAGCGCAAGCAACGGGAGTTCATACCGGACAACAAGAAGGATGACAGCTACTGGGACCGCAGAAGACGCAACAACGAGGCTGCCAAGCGGTCTCGCGAGAAGAGGCGTTTCAACGACATGGTGCTCGAGCAACGAGTGATGGAGCTGAGCAAGGAGAACCACATCCTGAAGGCGCAGCTCGAGGCGATAAGGGACAAGTTTGGTATCTGTGGCGAAGCTGTGATCAGCACGGAACACGTGCTCGCCGCGCTACCAGCCGAACCACCTATTAGCGTTAAAAGGGCAAAATTGCCACCCTCGGCGGCGCTACTCTATGCCAGGACACCGAGCCCAGTGCACACGTCCGTTATCCATCAACCGGTAAGCGGAGCACGGTCGCCAAGGTCACCTGCACAACTGTACGTTCCCGAAACTACCACGTACCCGGAAACGGAAAGCTTCCAATATCCCCATCCCTACGTATCGGCCATGCACCTCGACACGACGAGCGCGTTAAACCTGTCCCGCGGGCGACGCGCGCAATCGCCGTTCGAGTTGTCGTCCGGCAGCGGTGACGAGGGCCCTCAGTTGACGGTCAATCCGGCAGCTAACAACAGTTTGCCCCACAAACTGAGACACAAGTCGCGTATCGGCGACAAGGACGCGGCCAGTGCGCTATTGGCACTTCAGGGTATCAAACAAGAGCCAGGACCAAGGGCGTCGCCACCATGGGACAACGAAGGATCCAGCGACGAACGGGACTCGGGCATTTCCTTGGGGGCCGAATGGACCGGGCCCACCGTCCCTACCGTTCCTGAAAGCGAAAGGGAGGTGAAGTCTAGGCTCGATCGTCTCGCCTCCGAAGTCGCTTCCCTTCAATCGATACTCCGCCTTGGCAAGCCGGCGGACAGTCTGGTCACGGGTCATTCGTTGCCCGTCAACACCACCGTCAGCGGGCCGTGAGATGAATGCGAATGCCCGTATCTTCGCAGCCCCCGAGCGAACTCGCGACCGACCATTTTTCGTTCCATCGTGAATAGCCATCTTTCCGACCCTCTTCGCGATCCAAGGTGACACGGCGATCACGATGGCGACACCGCGATGATTCCCTCGTATCTCGCATCGAAAATCCGGAGAGATAAGAAAGACTTTCGACGCTCTGATCGCGCGAACGTTCCAAGTGTGATGGTTAGTTAGTTGGTAGTAGAAAGTAAGTAGTAGTCACGCGATATATTCTCCCTTGAGTTTCTACCCTTTTGTACAGATCTCCCTCGGTGACGAGACTAACTCGAGAAGAACAAGCATCTACGTTGTTTCGTATGCGACTACTACCGACTTTGCAGTATTGGATCCTCGTGTACTTTTTTCTTTTTATTGCTATCGGCCAATTTCGCGTGTTATCGTATGTACGGTTTCTTATCTATAGATCGACTAGAGATGTGTGAAAAAAGAACGGCAACAGTCAAGTCAGCTTTTTTATCGGGAGAGTATAAAGAAAAATGGATTCTTTGTTTTTGTTTTTGATTTTTTAATTCGGTCGAGTGCGAGGATCCGGGTGCCCCCGGTTGACACGATTGGGTGTCCCATACACCGGTCCGCACGCTCTATCGTAACGATGAGTTAAGATGATAAGAAAGATGCGACAGATCCTAGGTGTTATAAGTAACTTATGCTGTAAGACTTTCTTAGGCTATCTCTCGTTAATATTATTATCATTATCGTCATTAGCGAGTTCATTTGTTGATTCGGATGGTCATGTAGCGGCTAATTGAGTCGGGTCTGTCATGTACCCGTTTGACCCGTACAACGATTCGAATCAATTCAAGACTCGATATTCGATTCGTATCGTCCGAAATTGCCGTGAGAAACGAACTCGCGTTAATTCGAGGCTCTTCGGACACGATTGATGTTTTTTTTTTAATTTTTATTTTTATTTTTATTTATTCTCGTTGAACTAACTACGTATCAAATATCGCGATGAAATTAACAGAAAGGAAAGGAATAGCGCGACTTCGAAGATTCTCGGATTAACGAGGTCCCAAGTTTCTCCCGGTGAATCGATAATTGGTCGCGCAACCGGCTATTTCACTACCGCCAATTATGCTTAAACAACTTAATCCCAGCATCGATACGCGAAAGGCACAGTAACTCCCTTCTGTCTTTTCTCCTTTCCAAAACAAGGAAGGGAACATTTCTTGAAAGAGATGTCTTCGCATTTGGTGCAAAGATTTTCATTCATTTGATTCTCTTTTTCTTGAAATTCAATCTAACGACAACCATTCGATAACACATTGCAAGTATACATCGTTTTCAACTTAACGGATCCTCCCCAGTCTCGTTGGTGTCTCTTCTCGCGTCTTCTAGATCATCTTTCTCTCTTCTTCTTCTTTTTTTTCTTTTTATACGTTTTACTATTAGCGATTAACGTGACTGCGTGTGTAAATATGTGTATAAATGAGACAGCGAGAGAAAGGATACGTGTATATTTCGGGTTAATTATGTCGTTCTTTGGTGCCTCGTGATATCCTCGATACATCGGCCGGTGCAGCTGGACCGTGAGACTACATTAAGCGAGCCTACTGATTATGGAATGTTCACAGGATTTTCAGAAAGGATTATGTCAAACTTGAACACTATATTCGTCAAAATGAACAGAAATGTTCTATAAACTTTCATCTAGAAATCATTCGAACCTTTTTTTATTAAACGCCTTTAATTATTATAAGCAGTATTTTGCTAAAGAATGATACAATCCTCTACGCAGTCCTGTGTACATATATACATATATATAATGCACATATGAAAAAAATATACATATTTTTCGATAACGTAAGAGAGAATAAAACGAATTGGGTCATACACGAGGAAAGCTCTTATTAAAAAGAATCCTCGTAGTTGGAAAGAAGATAAAAGTTGTCGAAATTTCTGATGAAGTGTCGAGGACACCGATCGAACGTTCAAGTGAACCAAAGCAATTCAACAGCTTCGTCGAACGATTCGTTGTAATTTAGTAACATTGTTGTGTCTCGATTTACCGAGAAAAGAAAGAGAAAACTCACGAGTCGCGTTCGATCGATATCCTCGTCTGTACGTCAGTGTGATAAGCCACGAAACTTTAATCGAAAGCTACTGTATTCTTAATGCATATCTTTATTTATTATTGTTAATCGTCCGAATGGAGCTACTTGGAAAAGAGAAGAAGTATTTCGAACAAAGAGGTAAAGAAAACGCGTTGTTTCTTTATTTCCTGTTCGAGAATACTGTTTCTTTTTACACAGCTCTGTCTGTGTGTCACGGGAAACAACTGCGCTAACGATGAATAATCGAGACGAATAAACGAACTTAGCGTTACCTAGAATGCGGCGATCGCACACCTATTTTCGGTGCCGTTTAGTAATTCTCGAGATGAAACACGAACCAGGCTCAAAAGAATATCGTTCGTATATCCCATACACTTCTGAGCAGTTAAAGTTTTTCTAAGACACGTCACAAGACTGTATTAATCGTTAATCGGCGTTATTCGCGGAAGGATCTCGTATTCATCCCCCTTTTACATCCCTCTTACCCATACCCTCTTCCTCACTCTCCCTTCTACACTCGTTTGTATTTTTTACGTTATTTTCCTTGCGTGAATTTTCTATATTTTATACGGCATGTTTATATATACATATATATATATATATATTGTTGTTAGAATTTTCTGCGAACAACAGCCGACAGAACGATACTCGATTAATTTTTCTTTATTTACCGCCGCTCAAAACGTGTGTCCTCACAGAATTTGCTCAGAGTGAAAAGAAGACAAAAATCAATTTCGCCGCTTATGAATATAAGTATAAAATAGTATCAACTGTCGGACAAAAACGTGCTAGTTAAGAGTTCTTATAGTATTGGCACGACGAGAGATTTATTTTGAAACGAATGCAGACTAATATTTGACTTTTACATTGGCTCGATATATGCACCGTTCCGCAGTTGATTTACTGTAACATACCACGAGTGCCTATTAATAATAACGAGAAACTGAATGTCGGATCCCGCAGTAAAGCTAGAAAGCTTTGTTAGCAACCCGAGATTAAAGCACGTTTGTCGCATGAGAGGGAACGAGAGAAAGAGAGCGTGTGCGCGTGGTTTCGAAAGCGAAACCTCGTTACTTTTGTAAATAAAAAAATGTTAACTCGTGATCGGTCACGTTTGTGTGATCAGAAAGGATGCCACACGAACCGTGCGTGTACGGTGAGATCTCGTCGCAGGTTCTACTCGCAAATTCCAAAATAATCTGTATCTCACGATTACTTGCCCAATAAGAGGAAACGTTACCTATACATATACGACCACGCCGACCACGAATCAATATATTTGTACATAAACTGCACTTTCTTTTTTCTTTTGCCAAAAAACACGATTGTTATTATTCGTGCCGAGGAAATGGCGCTGATATCGTGAACGCGTGTGTTAAAAAGAGCATATCGGCCGGAGAAGGAACTATGAACGTTTTTCTTCTGAACCATCATCATCGTGTCTCCTTTTCAACCGTACCCCTGAAATAGCTTCTTCGAGGACATTTCGAATACAGTTCCTATGCAGTATGATAAAACGACTTCTACTCAGTCGATCGTTGTCCATTGATAAAACATATGATTCCAAGACGACACTTTTCATTATCCTTTCTCCGGCTGTACGGAGATATAAGTATTTAGATCTAAGGGACATATCCACAAGCGTGTAGTGTACTTGTATATGAATACCGAAATAAATATTTTCAATGTTTTTGACAATATCCGATTGCTGTTTCATTTGCGATCGTTCTTGCTCTGAAATAATGAGAAAGAAAATATGAGAGAAAACACGACCAACATCATGGAAAATAAAGAACGCAAAGTATTGGTGTATTCTATGAAACCCATGTATTTCATACGAAACGAAAATAGACGTCGAGATAAAAATGATTTAAATATACCCAAAGGGGTATGTTCATTAATATCATGAAAAAGAAAATATAAAAAATATATCGTAAAGTCAATTTATACAGTGGATGGTTTAAATTTCAAATGAAAAAATAAACCAAGTACTGATTGTTTGACATCACTGATGCTGGGTTAATATCGTAGTGTAATATATAATTCACACTCCCTTTTTGTTTCAACAGTCGTATGATTTCTTTACATGCTTATCAACTTCTTATAACTATCTCCATGCTGCGATTCTGAGGTTTTTAATATTGACAATTCAATAGGTGGGGTAACAGTTCCAATTATTATTGAAATTCAATACGGGGATTATTTTCGTTTCTTGCACTTGGTTCTTCCTCGGCGTCTACGCGAAGAATTTTGACGAGTATCGGCTTTCTTCGAAGATCTGAAAATATTCCAAGTATTGAATAAGTGATATAACATTGCAATAAAACCAATTAAATGTCTTACCTGTGAACCCTGTTCACTGACACAGAAGTATGTTTCTTTAAAGTCAAATGCTGCTGAACCAGCTCGGCTAGCTTTCCTTGTTGAGCAAGCATTGAAAGAAAAGTGCAAATAAATTCATCATAATTATGCGTTCTACGACAATCATCAATCTGAAACAAACGATATCCTATGATACTTTGTGATACGAAACATTACATGCATCCTCATCAGTTGCTTCAAGATATATTCACCTTGTATTTGTTCCTTTTGTCATTTTCATCTTTCAAACTAGTCTCACAGATACTTATTTCATGTTCTAAGTTCTTCAGTAAGGCTAAAAGATCTTTGGGTGCAAATGTATGTGGTTCAAACAATTCCGGATATTTTGAGCATAATTTTGGATCAATTTTCTCAACTTTCTTCTCTTCGGTAACAGTATCCCCGTTACTCGTTTTCACTCTAGCATGAGGTATTCTAACTTCTCCAGACAAGCAGACTTTTTTATGTAAATGACCACTGTCAGAAACTAATCTTTTTCCGTTTATATTAATATTCCCAAGAGAACGACCTACTTACGGATGTACATTTTACGTACTGCTCCTTATGGTGTTATATGATACACCACAATAAAGAAATGCAATGAAATATACGTACTTAAACCTGCCTCATTCTTTTCGTCTCCAGCGACTCTAATTACAACGAACTTTTTAAAGTCTTTTGTCGATGTTGGACTGTTCTGACCAGAATTCCATCCCCATGCTACAAATTAATATATGATTATTTAATATAAATAAATATGTACTCTAGTGTTATTATGCAAAAGTAATTGTTACTAATACAATACCTTTTCTTACTTAAGAAGAAAGAGTACAAAAATGCTCAGAAAGGAAAGGTCAACTAACTGTATCTCAGAGGTGTCAAAGGAGACAACGATGAAACGTGGGGGAATGTGTGAAAAGCAAATAATACCAGCAACCAAGCCACATCAAATTTAGTCTGTTATAGAATAGCGTGCGTGACAAATCAACGAAATGAGAATCATACTTATGATATTATATTTCACTCTGATAACAACTGAATCGTCAAAGTGTCCAGAATCAAGAAAACCCCATTCCACTAGCTGCACTGTATTTTACAATTGTGTGAATCTTCCAGATGGCGGTTACGTTTGGGTACCCAGTAAATGTACAGAAGGCTTGGTGAGATAATTTATCATTGTATTAATATTATGAACAGAGACTCAATTCTTAATTTTGGAATTTTTATAGATATTTGAACCACATTTACGAATATGTGTTCTGCCTGGTGATTCTTGGACGTGTGATACAGTATCCACAGAATCATCTATTGTAACAAACAGGTATGACATTATACCTGAATTAATCGATTCAAATGAAACTAGTTACATGGGATCAGCACAAGATCCTGTGAACTTTTCTGAGCTCATTGATTCATCTTACATCACTGATAGCATTCCGGATGAATCTGATCCGGAAATGGCAACTCCATACCCCTTGATTGAAATTGAAGAAACAATGGATAATAAGCATGAAATAAACATGGATAACATTTCTGTAATTAATAATCTACAGCATGACTATTTGCAAGCGCAGAATGATAGTAAAAAGCAGTACTTGTTGCTAAATCAATTAATACATCACTTATTAGTATATAAAGAGATTACTATTCCTTTAGAGTTTCTAGCATCATCATTATCTACGCCTTCACGACCTAACACAAAAATGCCATTATCCAATGAAGTAAAATTTTCTAAACCTAATCAACATAACGTGTTAATGAATTATCTTATACAAAATTATATTCAGCAGAACAATAATTTACAAAACAATATCATAACTGGTGCACAGTTACAAGATACAACAACCGAAGATAATACAATTCTAAAAAAAAGTGATACAAATAAATCAATGTTAAATATAGAAAATTCAAAAAATCCACTATCAACGGCATTTAACAATTTTGAAGATGATAACAATATTATTTTAATTACTGATAACGTGGGAAATAAACAATATTTAACCATTGAACGGTATAAATCGTTGGGTTATCAGTTAGATTCGCAATTTGTTCATCTTATTCCATGTGTAAAAAATATTCGCACACCAAATATAACGAACTGTCTGAAATATTACGTGTGTGAACCAAAAATGCCTTCTGTAATAGAATATTCATGTCCATTATTTACAGCATTCAATACATATACAAGAACATGTGATACAGAAAGTTATAACAAATGCATACATAATAAGAGAGATAACATAAACGTTCCAATTGGTGGGGATAATGTATTTCAAACAAATGTATCAGAAAAAAATATATGTACAGAACATGGAAAAGTAAAAGACCCAACATCTGAATCGCGTTACTATATTTGTTATTCTGCTTCAGACAACTCACAAAACATTAAATCAATACGAATGACATGTCCAAATAATTTAATATTCTGTCATACAAAGAAAGTTTGTACAACAAAACGTCTTTGTTAAATGATACAAAGCAAAATTTTTACTTACCTTGTGTGGGAGAGTTGAATGCAGATCCAATTTCAGATGATGTATCAGTACTAGATGAACTGTGTGCTGGTGAAGTCTGAATTTGAAGAGGTGTAGCATAATCTAATGCACACATCACTACCTTTTCCATACCACTGAAATATGTACATACATGGCAATTTCAATTAAACAATAAAATATTTAATGAAAATAAATCCTATCTAAATTATTATTTGCTTACTTTGATTCAGTCTTTCCAGAAGTTATACTTGAAGCTGGCTCTTCTGTATCTGTTGCAGTATCATTACTCCTTTCAACAGTAATAGCTGGTATAGAAGAAGATTCATCAATTTCTGATCTATTAGGTAAAGCATTTTCATCATCAATTTTGCTTTTCTTTTCATGTGATTTCTCTAGCTTTTCAGAATCATTTGTGTTTTTTTCTGTTCCATCTTGATGGCTTAGTTTAACAAGTTGTTGCAATGCTTCTAATACTATTTGTCGATTAGTTTTTAACATTGTTAATTTATGCGAAATAGCAAGTCGCCGATCGGGAACAACCGCCATCAAGTTAAATCTTATATCTTGCAATTGCTCCCCTGTTGCCATTCCTAATCTATCTGTAATTACACGTCTAAATTGTTCTGTCCACTCTTCGTGTTCCTTCCATGGACCATGATCCATGGGATATGGTTTTAAACCATCCAATTCAAATAATCTACCATTAATTGGTACATAACTAACAAAATGAAAAGCTTCCCCAGTAAATCTCCCAGTTGATACTCCAGTATTTTTATCCTGACGTCTTTTGGCTTGAGGCATAGCATGAGAATTATGAGCACATGCTAATTCAGGTGTGTTACCAATTGCCCATCCTTTATTTTCTGGACACATACCAGATGTATGCATCTTCAATCTGGATAAAGTTGTACCCAAATGAATATTTGGGCAATTGAGTAACACTGAAAGTAATGCATGGGTTGCACAACTATTGGGCACCACCTATAAAATAGTAGACAGTTCAAAAAACAAATTCTTATGTATTATAGAACATGTTTAAAGGCTCTTAGCAATGCAATGATTTATAATTTATAAAGATAAATACACCTGTTGTGCAAAAAATATGTTGTTAACAATTTCTTCATCTTTTACAAAACTTTCATCTTGTTCTACAACTTTACGCCTGGATCTTCTCTCTTCTATCCAACGAAATAAAAATATAAAACCATATACTGGGCCCTCTAATGATTTTTGCAAATCATATATTTCTTCAACTTGTACACCCTTTACTCCAAAGTCTTCTAACAGCAATGTAAATAAACCTAATAATGTAAAATATATATTAATATCACCCTAAATATACTGTAGTTGTAATACCATAAAAGGATAAAATCACAGTTGTTCCATTAATGATAGGGTATCATGTACATAAATATATTAATGAGATTTGAAAACTATTCCCATGTAATGTATATAGTTTTCAAATCCATGAAAAGTATTTCAATTTTCAAATTCATTCAGGTATTTTAAGTATATTCATCATTAGAATGGCACAGGTTCATAATTATTAATTTATACCTGGGTCACTTTCCAATTCTAGCCAACCTTCCGTTAATCTGTTAATATCAACTGGCATTCTGTGTTGAGTTTTAAATTCAACACTCAGAAAAATTTCACATCCTTCTGGAAATTTTATTATGCTGTGACAATTAAAGACGCCATGTTACATCAAAATACACATCATCTGACCCAATCACGCAGTAAAAAAAGCTTAAAGAATTATTCAAATTTTAATAATTTTTACTCTTTTTCCACGTTTTTTATAAGAAACAGATATTCTATTAAAGTATCTTAACTTGATTGAAAAGGTAATTTCTTAAAAATTGTCCATTTTAAAAAGAAAAATAATAAGTCATATTGCATGTGAAACGAGCATAAAACTTAGTTTAGTTAATCAAGATTTAATCCTAATGGACGATTCAATGATAGTTTTTAATTAAAACGTAACATATATAAGTATTTTCTTATGAATAAATGTGTAAATGGAAGTATAATGCGATAACTGAGGTGACGCTTAAATCATTTTCTGTTTGGCTTAATTTTTGATGAAACGTTGACTGTTTTACCGATGCGCTATTCGGAGTTCGTCCTCCACCATCACCCTAATGATTTTGCTTAGTTAGTACTAGAAAAACAAATAATTATTATGAATGTATTAAGATTAACAATTGTTTTGATAGTATTTGTTGAATTGTCAAAATGTACATTGTTACCGCCCAAAGATAAAAGTAGTAAAAGGAATAAAGGAAAAGTTGAAACTAAGGTAGCAAAAATAAACTTGTTAAATATTCATAAGCAAAATATTTATTTTTTGTTATATTTTTATTTATTTTTCGGTTTACAGATAGGTCCTGTGAATCAAGATGTTTTTCAAAGAAATTTAGTGGTGAAAAACACTAAACCACATGATATTATTCGAGAATCAGGTTTTTATTTTTCTAATACAACTCGTAGACGATTTACTGGAGATATTTTAGGATATATTACACCGGTAAATTTGTTCTTAATTATGTAATAAATTGAATACTAAACATCATTATTGTAAATAAAAACATTTTCTTTTTTTAGTGGAATAACAATGGATTTGAAATCTCCAAAATATTTCATGGAAAATTCACAACGGTATCACCAGTATGGTTGACATTTCCAGAAGGCAGTTGGCAATTGTCAACCCATGATGTTCAGAAAAAGTGGTTGAAAGAAATGAGAGCATCAAATAATGATGCTCATTATGTAAACAGTATGTTACAAAGTGACATGCTTCTATAAATGTATTCATGATACCTATATGAATATTATTTTCAGTTCTACCAAGAGTATTATTTGAACATTGGTCAGTTAATGATATTGTGAGATTGTACAGTGACACTCACAAACAGATTCAATTAATTTCATCGCTCATAGATAAAGCAGAGGTAATTATAAAAACATGTGCAACAAATTAAATATATGTAACATCATAACAACAGCTATGGTGCTTTGTTCTAGACCTTTCATTTTGATGGATATGTTTTGGAAATATGGAATCAGTTTATATTTACAGGTGTGGATGCACAGATTATAATATCAATAATTCAGTCTATTGCTCAACAGTTAAAAACTAATAATTTAGATACAATTTTAGCAGTACCACCATCAAGAGGGTAAGTTTTACTTTTTGTACTTTTCATTCTGGTTGAACTGTTTTTATTTTATGTAATTTCCAAAGAAAATTGTTTTATGTAATTTCCATAATTAAATCGTATTATATATTTTCTTCGTTTTTAGCCCAAAGGTTCAATTATTTAATAAAGATCATTTTGATCAATTATCACCATACATAAAAGCTTTCTCTTTAATGACTTACGATTATTCAACTATTCAACGTCCCGGACCTAATAGTCCAGTTGATTGGGTGAGGGAGTGTGTAAAATTGTTAGTACCTGAAGACGGCCCTAAACGGGCTCAAATACTGCTAGGTCTTAACTTCTATGGATACAATTATACTCCCGAAGGTGGAAGAGCTATCTTGGGTTCAGAATATCTGAAAATCCTTGAAACCTTCAAAGGGAAAATTCAGTGGGATGATAACAGCAAAGAACATTTTTTCGAAGCAAAGTAAGACTCAGGATTACACAAGAATTTATAGCTTAGATAAAATTGTTTTAGACTAGGTTGAAATTTGGGGATGTATTTCAGGTCGTCGGGGGGCAGTGGAATTGTCTTTTATCCCACATTGTACTCTATTTTCCAACGACTGGATCTTGCTTCCGAATTGGGTACAGGTATATCAATTTGGGAACTTGGTCAGGGATTACACTACTTTTACGATTTACTGTGAATATTTTTACATATGTTACAGATATATTTTACATTTAAAAAGATATAAATACTGTTGACAAATACATATAATTAAAGTATACAGATTCAGTCTCCATAATAATTTACAGTATTTTTGTATCATTCGGACAAGTGTAATTATTCGTAATAATGCTTGGAGTCAAAATTAAAGGCAGTTTCTGTTTCTTGTAACGTACTCAGTACACATTAGTGTGCGCGTGTTTCTTTGGATATTACTGCAATATTATTGTTGTTTTTCAATGTCTTGTCCTCTCTTCCTTTGAACATCATCATAGATTGAGGTCCTTGTATAATATTATACATTAAAGCCCAACATAGCTTTGCCGGAAGTAAGCTGTTAAAAATATTTCAATTGATTTTTATAGCTGATGAAAATTACTGAGATCGTAGACATTCATCTAACATACCATTTGAGTGGCAAGAGATATCTAACTGCTCCAGGTAGTACAACATTTATTTGATTCACTAATATTCCAGATACAACTTCTTCTGCTACGTATTCAGGTTCTAGCATTGGCATTAGCCTGTAAATTATAAATTTATAGCAGGTCAAACTATAAAAGGCAACGTTTCGTAGGTCCCATTGCATACCTGGGTTTCACTCCATGGAACATACCCGTGTTGATGAAGTACGGACATACTAGAGTCGCGTGAATTCCATCATAACCATGGGCCTAGGAATGTTACTTGTTTACTAACCATTGAAAAAGGGAAATGTGGTCTAAATAATTTTGAAAGGTTCTTACTCTAAGTTCACTGAAGAGGCTTTCATGGTAACCGATAGCTGCAGATTTGGTGGCCGAATAATCCGTGCAGTTGTAAGTTCCTAAGAGTCCTGCCACGCTTGCCACAGTCACGATGTGACCGTGATTGTTTTTCATCATGTCCCTCATGAATGCTTTGGTAATCTGCGTTGAATGCAAATGTTTCAACGCTCTCCTTTAGGCATTGTCTAACTGAACTTACCCAATAATGTGACAGAATGTTAACTCTGTAAGTGCGCTCGATTTCATCGTCTGGTAAGTCCCAAAGCGTTTTTCCATGTACATAGCCCGCGTTGTTTATCAACAGGGTAACCTGAATAAAATATTATCGAGTAACATGAAATTGTAATTTGTTCCTTAGAAAGAAGACTATAATCCTACAGGGCCAACTTCGATCTGCACCGTCTTCGCTATCCTGTACACTTCTTCCCTCTTGGTAATATCGCAATAGTAACTCGAGCATTTTCCTCCATTTTGTCTAATCTCCTGAACTGTATCTTCCAGACCTGCGGATTGTGTTCATAGAAGCGCTTGCAGTTAACTTATTTATGGCATTAAGCTCTATTGGGATTTACCAGTTCTATTGATATCCCAGATGACAACGTGTGCTCCAAGTTTGGCCAGCTTGATGGCCATCAGCTTTCCAATTCCTCCAGCGCCTCCTGTTATCAGAGCCACCTCTCCTTTGATAGATTTTGCACGATAACGTCGTGGAATGAAGGTCAGGATAAGAGCCTCGCTTATGTAAATCAATGCCATTCCCGCGAATAGTAAAACGTCGTACAGTAAGTTGACCCATTCCGGTAGCTCCATTTATACCCCTACATTACAAAGTCATCAATTCTATTCAATTGAAAAAAAGAAGTGCAAGGCGTTTGAAACGCGTTTCATTGAATCATGGGTCGCGTCAACAGTTGCGTTTTCCTCAAACGCATTCACCCGCGACTCGAGTTGGACTCTCGAAAAAGAACTGGCTCTCTTTCCTTTCACGGAAAATAGAAACGCATCGCCTGATAACTTGTACTGATAGACAGAAATTACGTATATACATTACGGTACACTTGCGTGAGTAGTAGTACCGGTTCACGAGCGAGTAACAGATTTGCGGTGACGGGTGTTATTAACTTCGGTCAATGCACCAGCCTCGCTTGGTTCCTTATGCGGAATCAAACGGGGAAGTATTTCGTTTGTAAAATTTATTCCACGATCGTCGTACACTATAGCTCGAATATTTATTGGGTTGACATTATTCGTTAGGAACCACATTTTCACGCGAGAAGGGAATATAGAAAGTTTATCAAACAATCTTCTTCTACCGTTCTCTTTTTTTTTTCTTTCTCTTTTCGATTTAGACGGTATGTTCTCAAAATAAAAATTGTCCTTCTGACAAAAAGAAATTCTTCATGTGGAAAGCTTGAACGGCTCTTGAAGGAAATGAAACCGGTTTCCGTCCCGCGGCGTTAATTTGAACGAACGGTAGATAGTTTTGTGTAGTGTCGTATAAAGCGTTTCTATTTGATAACATCAATGGTGAAAGCATGTTAAACAAATATTGGAAAGGTGTCCGTAAAAAATAGAAAATCGATAAAAAAGAAATGCTCGTTCAAAATTCGAGGATTTAGCGTTTTAAATTCACCGCACAATGTTTCGCGTGTTTCGAAAGGTAACTTTTACGTTCATTTTTTAATTTCACATTTTCTCTTCTCGCAATTTTCAATCACCGTTTTATCACAGAAACAATGTTTTAATGTCTTTTATTTAATTATGACAATCTTATAATTTCACATTATTTTGCAGGAAGTGGTTTTATTTAAAATAACGCGCTACTTGGATGCTTTGCTTATTAAAAGTCATTACCTCTTTGAAGATGAAGTTTTCTGAGGATGTTTAATACTAGCGAAAATGACTTCAGTTTGAAAAGCGGTTCCCGTCTCTCTGTGCTTGAGTGTCAGTGGATCGACTGGTGCCGACGGATGTACCTCCTCCTGGTGCGCCCGAATTGTAAGACCCGCTGTGTTTTGATGCGTAACTTGAAGCACTGCTCAGTCACGTACCTAAAAGTCCTCTTGAAAGGTATCAGAGAAATTATCTTAAACATCACTTCAAAGTATCCCTACTTTCCATCATTCATTTTTCATCTATTAAAAATTAATTTAATTACTGATTACAGTTCCTCTGTGAAACTTGAAATGCCATTCTCATTGATACGGGTCCCTGATTTTGCACTGGAGCATGATATAAATTTCTGTAGAAGCCTTTCACAAGAAAACGGCAAGATTAGAAAGGTACATAAGAAATTTCGAAGAACGTAGAAGCAATCTACCTAGAATAAGGCAGTAGCTCCACAAGAACCTGGTCTTTGTACACCGCTGGATTTACTATAGTTCCGTATCCTACAAGATGCACAGAACACGTGCTGCAGATTCCTACTACCATATATGTATACCTGTACCGAATCTTATGGTGAAAGTTTCCGTTACCTCTCTCTTCTTGCCCTACTGATGCTGTCCTATGATTTTACGGGGCAATGAAATATCAGCCCTAGGATTGAACCGTATACAAAGCATGAAATACTGGAAGAATAGTTCCATCTATGTGGAGAGTTGATCAACCGAGGTATTTCCTTCTACGATTGTATTTTCAGATTGAATTCTTTGTAAACACATTTCTTCAGAGAAGGAATAGAAAATTCGTCGACGGTTCAAGTCCTGTAATTTCAAGTCCTGTAATATAGAAAATCATTACTATGAGTATCCACTCTGTGGTGGTCATCGTAACATCGAGTAACAGGATAATGTATTGCAGGAAATTACACGAGGTCATTGATTTGCGATCCATCAGTCCTTGTTATTTTTCTTGTAATAGAAAGTTACGAGATCCAAGTGAATCCTCGAATTACGTGCGAGCAATACAAACGGTGTATTATACTCCTTCGGCTTACACAATTCTGATGGAAATTCGCTTCGATCCTTGATACGTCCATGTTCGAAGGAGCATTGGAGATATAGAGAATGACAATATAGCATGCCTTCATTTGAGAGAATCATTCGCACAATTTGTACAAACGGTTCTCATAGTGCAAACAATGAAAGATAGCAGGATTCATCCTATGGCTGGTGAAAGGATGACGTTCAAGATCTAGGCCACTAATACTCCTTTTCTACAAACAACGAGGAAGATATGAATTATACAGATCAAGAAGGGAGAATGACTTGTCAGTTTTAGATTCTGTTTCTTAAAATTGTTAAGTCAGAAGTTTGTTGAAGTTACACATTTTCAAAGCAGTTCCTATTGTCATCAGCTTTGTGCTGTTAACATTCCTTCGGCCGAAAAGAAGTTTCGGCTGAAAGACCTTCGTCTTTGTCGAACGTGACGAGGAATGAATCATTTTTTGGTACTGAAAGACAGAGATTACAATGACAAAGTCACGCGTTTGTTCATTGTCAATGCAATACGTTACTTCTCGTAATGAGCCATGCTTGAATTAATGAATAAATGTAAGGTAAACGACGTCGTAAACAATAGTAAACTTTATTGTGTGTCCTTTCAAGTCAGTGGGACGAATAAAGTTTTTTTATCGTTTACGGTGTTCAAGGATCCGCGTTTATATTGCAGTGGACGTACAAATAAATTTTGCAAAGATAATTGCAGTTCTTTACAAAATTAAATAAAAAGAATAATTTAAGAGCGTTAAGTTCATCGCTTTAAGAACTACTTCTGCTCGAAATAAATATTAAGAACTGCGTCATAGCATTTTGATAAAAATTACATGTTTATAATGATAAGAAATGAAAACACTTTAATAACATGTTTACTGAATTCAAATTTTTATTTCAAACTTCGAATCGATTCGATAATCCGGTACAGAGTTGCCATCTGTCGAAGAAACATTGGTAATGCAGACATACCGACGCGGACATTTAATCCCTTTTGAAAGCCAGGCGGTAATTAACGTAAAATTTTTGCTTTTAAATTTGAAATCTTATTCTTAATGGATCTTTTGATGAGATCATTTGTGGATGAATTTTTTTACGTTCAAAACGAAGAGTTGTTTTAAATCAGGAATACATTCAAATTCAAAACAGGAAAAATCGTAAAAAAATCATTGAACATGTTATTGAAATGACGAACGGTAAATTTATTAAGGTCGAAGATATCAGAGATTCATCGATAGACGTTGAAATTGAATACGTTCATAGAATATGTAGAAATCTTTGGAGGCAAAAGAGTGCCCCCTTAGAGTGTTAATATTTGTACGTTTTTGTGTTTGCATATTTAGTAATCGTCTAGTGGAGCAAAAAGCTTCGATGACGCTCATCCAGGTCCATTCCACTCAGGTTTACCCAATGCGAATTTCAGTGAAAGTACATACTGACAATAATTTCGTAATTTTTATTCTTTTAGACACCTCGAACGTTGAAGAACGGTTTCACTTCGAGGGGGCTCTTCGGCCTTCTACTAACGTGAAATTTCAAGACACGTTTAACGGTAAGCTGTTTTCTTGTTAAAAAATAATCATTTTTTTCCACATTCCTACTGTTAATTAATTAATGTTCAAGTTAATGAAATCTATCAAAATTTCAGTGATAATAATGAGGATGAAACGACGATCGTTAACAATCTTAAGGTTTTCTATATAAGTAATCAAGTTTTTCAAAGAAAATTTCATTGCGAAAAGTTAACATTAACGATCGTTGGACCGTTTCAGAAGATTGTGCTACGCCATAGGAACATCGTTAGCAATCGATTAGGATTTGATGCCGATCAACATCCAAGAGCTCCGAATTATTCTGAATCCGTCACTTTCACTTGTGTAGAGTTGCTCTGGAAAGCCGGCGTTTTCGCCGTGAAATGGCCTGTATTTCTAGACAGCAAGGAGAAAGATTTCTTCAAGTTCAACGGTGCCCACTGGAATGTAACTTTCCATTTCGTCTGGTTTTACAAAAGAATTAGAGATTCATTAGAGCAAATCGTTACAATTGCAAGTAAAAGCAAAGCGGGAGTTGAAACGAAGATAGTCTCGTTCGAGAGATTACCATACAATAACAAAGAAATAATCAAAGCTGTATTATTAGTAACTGTTCGATATTGGCGCTAGTCTTATCCCCAATAGAGTTGGTTCATTTTTATTGCCAAATTAAAATAACCATGTTTACTTGCAACGCAAAAGAAGGCGATTACGATTGTTATTATAACGCTTTGCTGGTAGATTGAATTGTAGGACTCGAAACAAATGGAAAAGTTTTAGATTATCAGTATTCAATAGTCGAAAACAACTTCCATTTGAACGAACAATTATTCATATTATTTAATATTTTAACGTTTGAGTCGCCTTCACTCTTCATCCATGGTCCTTTTTCCAGTTAGTTTCCACAAGAACGTCGATTCGACTGCTTGATATCGACCGGATCTCCTTGAGACGTGAAATTCTACTGCCTTAATCCCAATTATCCCATGGTCGGGCGATATGGATCATTCTCAGGACCAAAATGGATCGCAAAAGATTCATTTAAGAAGGTCTATATTCTCCTTTGTTCAATGTTCGTTAGTGCTGTTCGTCGTTTTGCACGAAGGAAGTGTGAAGGAACGGTGAATACTGTTGGCTGTTAAACGTTTTGTTAGTGTTTAACTGTTGAACAATTAGTTGGTGTTCCAGTTTGCAAATTATATGAACAATAAGCGGCAATGAAACCGCGCTATGTCATGGAGCGAACAAGCGTACTGTGTATGTATTCTGTTCCTCTTTTTATGTAACTTCGATTTGTTCATAAATGAGAATGAGATAACATTTTTGTTAAACGATTTTTTATGCTTGTGGAAAAAACTTTAATTTCATTATTTATTATTCAGAGATATAGACTGAATAAAATAACACGATAAGATCAATCAGATCAGGTATTCAGTTTACTACGCGATTAATAAACAAATATTATTATTGTAACCAGATTAGTGTTGCATAATAATTAATATATCAACAAGTATTATCTTTCATCTAATAGTTGTTGTTTCAATAAAATACTTTATCTTCTTGAGCCTGATTCGTCTAAGAATAGCTACAGTTCATTGAAAGAACTCTCCGCAATGAACCGATCTACACACCAACTTCTTCTATTTATACGATTTCTAAACGAGAAAATTTCAAGGATGCTTGAACATAAAGTCCATGTTTGCAGATGTTGCTGGCCGATCTAAGCGAAAACTCTACGTCAAAAGCAGTAAATCAAGCGCAAAACGAGCTAAGAGAAGACAATGGAACAAATAGGTAATAGAAAATTTTCATTTAACATCTTTGAGAATTTTTACTCCTTAAATGTATAAGTGCAACGCTATGAACCGGTAAGGTCTTAACTTTTTGCATTGTAATTTTTCCATTTCACGCTTAAATAATCAGCGAATAATAATAAACAGTTAATAATACCGAAAACATTTGCAGTGAACGATGTAATTGTTTCAAGCAATAATATACGATTAATTTAAAATTATATGGAAAAGATATAAAGGTACAAGAAAAAGATGCAAAGTGGGCGATTAATCGATGCACTTCCAATTATCATAGTCTTTATTAATGTTGTTGTATGTGTTTCTCGCTTAACGCGCGCAGAATGTTTTTCGAGAGATCGTCGAGAGGGTAAAGGCGTACCGGAGCCACCGTTTCATTCAGTACACCGACAACCGTAGTGCCGGTGAGACGAGTATCTCTAACCGTACGCGAACGACTTTCGTACAGGTACGCACCTTCCCGTGCACTACTCCCTTGTGTCTGGTTCTACACTCTAGCCAAGTTTTCGTTTCAGAACGCGAGTGACTGTCGACGAACAACGATCACCAGAGAACCAACGCGGCATTCGATAGTAAGACATTCTATCAATCTTATCTACTTTTGATTTATCGACTACACCATGGATCCTTCTCGTCATCTGCTCAGAGATCTATCTGTTGCATGCTTTATTCTTCTCGTTCAACGATCATTAAGTTCTAGAGAATATTGTCATGTACAGGAGTGTGTATTCAACTACTTATTGTTAGAGAAAGAGAGACGAAGGGTTACAGCGATCGCAAATTCAATTCGTTAACTCGCTGAAACACGCTCGATCGTCTGCGGGCGGGATAAGTTTTGAAAGTGGCTACCTGATCCTCGTGAAGGTATTCTTCGAGAAGCTGCTTTCGGTGATCGGTTTCACCTTCGTCGCATTTTCTTACCGGTCGTGTGATACATATTGAAAAACACATTTATGCAACATCGATCCAAAACGATTCGTGACCTTTTTAGACGCGGAAATGATGAAAACAGGAATTCTACTGAATAATATTGTCGTTCATGGCATCCATTAAAATACCGTTCAGCATTTTTGTAAGTGGTCGATCGAAATCGTTAACGATTCGTACGAACGAACCAGTTATAATTCCAAAGATCGTTAACGAAACTTCTCACGCCCACACGCCAGTAAGTGATCGAGCACTATTTTGCAATAGTTGCCTGTCAATTTACCTTCTTCTGCGTCGTCACTCGATCGTTTGTTCGTGCATGCTATCGCAGTAATGACGGTTAATTGAATCGGATCAATTTACCGGAGGACGTTTCCGTACAAAGTAGAACAAACGTATATCATAGGCCGGTCGATTTTTTTAGGATCAATTAAATTTCTGTGAAGCTAAGTTCGCGTTAGAAACGTGGGACGAATTCAATTAGATTTTAGTGTGAACTCGTAAGCGATAATCGTAAAAGATTCGTAAAAGGCGATAATCATGTTCTTCTAATTAGTAAGTTAATCACGAACGACGAATAAATTAGTTCGATTGAGATGCAGACTTAAAAGTAACAACAGCAGAATGTGAATTGAAAATTAGCGCGTTAGCGTTCGTGTGCTAGATCATTGTTCAAAGTTATGATTACGATTACGACAGAATCGTCGAAGCGACTCGTTGTACGTCTCTTTGCATGTACGTGTTCCGTATTACGATTTCGAATCTACGTATTTTTAGTTGGCTATTTTTCCTGGATCGAGTGAAACGAGCACGTAAGCTTCTGCTTCTCGTGATACTGTTTTGCGGCAAGATTTTTCTTCTCCTTCAAACTCTTCGATGTAACATTCGATAATTGTTCGAGGCATCGCTGGTTGGCTGAAAAGAAACGAAAAATTCGTCGAAATCCACGGCTGAAAATCGAAAGTAAATTTCGCGCCTCATTAGAAAGCGAATCACCCACCGACCGATGTGATATTCCTGTTTCGTTCGTGTAATCGTTAACGTCCGCGAAAATCGTACATAAAATCGTAAACAGGAAAACGGAAGAATCGCAACACGTTCGTGAACGTTTTCGAAAACATTTCTCCCCCTCGAACCCTTTGCGTAGCCGCGTTTGTGCTAACATAACAAATTTCTTGCGCGAACTCGAAACTTTCTTCCTCGAGTCTTTCATTGTTCCATTCAACTAGTTACGCGTATCGTAAAAAGCAAGTTACAAAATGTAATCGTGTAAATAACCGTGTCTTAGAATCACGTTTGTAATTCAGAGATGCAAATACCTCCGAAGGTATTTTATCGTAGAAGATTTGGATCAACTTCCTCGTCTGTTGGTTTTAACCAATTCGTCGAAATACGTCCTCTTTACGCGGCTACGAGAAGAAAGTGATACGAAATTTGGAGAAAGCGTACACTAGTTTCTACATCGGTGTTACCTACCATTACCTGTGTAACTAACATTACCGACGAATCTGTGACCGTGTTACTTCATTCTTATCAGATAAGCGTGTTTCAGGTACGGCTCGAAGCCTGTTCCCATTAGCAAGAATACACCTATTGTGTTATCAGTGATTTGTTCGCGCGAATCTGTCTGCAGTCATTTGAAATATAGGTCGTACGGTTTTTGAGTTAAAACTTACATTATACTTTGCCAGCTGTTATTTATTAGATACTTATTCTACAATTATTTTAACACTTAATTTTGTTTTCCAGAAAATTTGAAATTATCTAAGAAGATCCCGGACGGTGTACGGTTAATTTTTGGCTGTGCCAGCCGCAACAACTCCCTTCTCCGCGTACGGAAGCCCTAATACACACCCCGTGCTGGGACAAGCTATGATATCCTGATCGATCGGCATCGTCGAATCGCAGAAGAGTCGTTCCACGTCGAAGGTTCAGATTGAAGCTTCTGTTGGAAGAACGGGACAGCCATGTCTTTCTTAAAATCCACAAGTGATGTGATAGGTTTCCTGCTCCTCGCGGCGGTCTCCATCGTCGAGGGTATCATCAAATTGTTGATTCCCATGAAATACAAGATGAAAAACGTCGACGGTGAGATAGCCTTGGTGACCGGGGGTGGTGGTGGTCTGGGCAGGCTAATTGCCCTTAGGCTGGCCAATCTTGGGGCCATCGTTGTGATCTGGGACGTCAACAAAACTGGTAAGCTTCAGTCATCTTTTTTATTTATAGATGAAAAGATTGCTTCTGAAAACTGTACAGGACTCGATAAATCTTTGGAATAACAAAGATATTAGGCCACAACCTGCAGCTCTGTTAAAGACCATTTTTTAAATAGGGTAGTGACTCACGTGTTTGTTCGCGCATTTTCAAACGTTTCAAAAAAATGATGATATCATGTATTGCTCTTGAACTTGGAGCGCGAATTTTTTAAAGTAATAGGATTTAATATTCTGTTCGGGTAAGTATCGGTATTGTGTGAATAAATGTGTGGGTTGCTGTATAAAAGGATTCAGGTGTAATTTTCATAATAATTATCAGTACTTGAATGGAAATTCTACTAAAAATTATTAGAAGAACCATAACAAAAACCGTAGTTGTGCAACGCTAATAGGGCATCAAAAGGTCTGTAGAGTCTACGATAAAGCGTTTTTTAAGATTTCTGGGTGAATCATAATCTGGTGATCCCTGACCTATGATATGAAATTCAGGGTACGATTCAGACGTCACTTGTGTAATGATAAAAATATTTAACGAATCATTTATTCGATATATTCAATTGTTTATGAATTCGTTAAAGAAGCAACGAAAAATTGATCTTGTAGGAATGTTCTACGTTTCACGAAGAAAATTTTCTTCTGATCTGAATTTTCATGTTACTCTATCGTCAGGGAATATCGTTGGTATCGTTCCTAAAAATCTGTAATTGGCTGGCTGGATCTTTTTTTCTTAAAAGCATTCGTTAACGTACCGTCGGTGACATTTAAAGTGTCCGGATACATTTGAACTTGTGACGATACTTGTGAGTCCACGAGTCGATAAACATCCGAATTTCAAGGACGTTCAAAGCGTGATCAGACTTTAAATATGAATAGATCGAGCATCGTTTTAATTTTCAAACGCCGCATTGCGTCCTTGTCGTTGTCTAAACTAGAAATTATTCTATCGTTGACCAAGAATTCAAGTTTCTTTCCTTGATGCTTAATGATATTATTATACGTCGGATTAGATAGAGTAAATTTGTACCTCTTCATTAAATAGAATGATTCTGAAAAAAAAACAACAACAGAATCAATCTAGATGATCATTACGTATTCATCCATTGTCTGTTCGAATTACGTAATTAAGAAGCGCGGAGAGAAACAGCGACTCATTATCGCGTTAAGTGTTATAGAGAAATGTACATACGTGGTAAGGTAGATTTAGATTTATATTATTAGAATCCAATTATGATAAATCAAACATTTACTTATCAATAGAGCATAATGAATGGTGAATTTAATGAGTTAATTGCCAATGAAAACGGATGTTTCTAGCGCGACATGCTATAATTATAATTATTCTGAATACGATCTGATGTGAATACCACTTTATATTCTAATTTAGATTTTCCGCTTGCATAATATATCACCGCTACTTAAAATCCTCTTTAATTTTCCTTTTACTTTCTTTTCTTTGATCTCTATTGAACTCGTGGAGACTGCTATCGCTGAAGCGCATAGTTAAACGCGAGTTTCTGTTTTGTTTCCTACAGGCGTTTGTTATGATTTTGCAAAATTATTATTTTCGGCTACTCCTATAATTGTGCCAAGTTTAGATACGAATCGGTGCCTCGAAGGTCGTGCATTTGTCGGCTCATGCAAGAATCAACATTCGACCGTGTTAATGACCTCCACCTGTTGAACGAAAGGTGTATATACCTTTGCCTGACCTTCTTCGTTCACTGCCTCTTCGTGTTCTCGTATCACAATAAATTCCGTCTTAAACAGGCTTCAGAGTCTTCAGCGAAAACGACCGAAGATAAAATATATTATAGGTCTCGTTTCGTGAAACTTGAATCCTTCCTTGGATTGTAGGCGCGAATAGTAAGCAACGTGTCGTTTGGTAAAAAGGTTTCTCTGGTTTTTGAAATGCTCGAGGCGAAGATCGTAAAGTTGTGCAATCGAACCGGCGGACGAAACGGTGGAATAAGAAAAAGGAGGCGATAAGGATCGAGAGAAATTAATCGCGATTACGGGAGGGAAGGAGAGACTGTTCGGGTTCACGGGCAGAGGAAGACCGCGTAATGAATTTCAAACGTCGGCAATCAGAAACTCGTCCTCGTGGGCGGAATATTGATCGTATAAGCTGCACTGTTCTGGCCTCGCGGTGACTTTGTTCTTTGGAAGCAGGACACGTGTCACCGAAAGCGATCCAACGAACGACAAGAGTCGAATCAGGGAGAACCGGATCGTTTCTCAGGATCCCGGAGGTTGCCGCATCCTTGTAACATCGGATACTTATGGAGGCCATCCTTATCAAGGAAGGTTAACTCTGGTTAAGGGAAGGAACCATCATTTACTTAATTCACTGTCCTTTGCGCGTCGAAGGGTAAACTTCATGGCCATCATGGTGGAAGGTTTCTTCCCTCCAGCACAGCAAGCTGAAATTTTACTTTCGCACAGGCTGCACCAAGCCGAGAAAAGCGAACCGGCATGACACTGAAGGCCGTCCAAGCGAATCTGGTCGATCGGCTTTGCAAACTGGTTGATCGTAGTATAAAAAAAAAAGGAAAAGGTGGAATTTCACGATATTCTCGTACTCCTTCGCCGGCTGTAAATGTCTTTTAGATAGCGCTGTTTCCTCACATCGCTTAGGTCCATTTATTCCGAATTGTTCGGTGTTGGTAATCGTTCGCAGAGTGTAATTAGCCTGGGCAAAGCTCGCAATCGAATGTTATTTTAATGAAATCTTCACACCGGGTGTTTCCCAACTTTTTTCGAATCTCGACTCCCTCTTACATTCCTTTCGGTTATCAAAAATCAGCGTAACAACCGCTAATAGAATTGGTTTCGACATAACTATTATTAAAATGAATTAGGTTCTGCAATGTTTCTCCAATCACGACCCCTTTTATAATTGCCTAATAATCAATTCGGGAATAAACGATTTGGGAATCGTGGCGATAAACGATTCCGTTGGTCAGAGAGAACGTGGTTTGCCAGGGAACAGGATATTCCACGTTTTGCAATTACCCTTTATAATCTACGTGAACGCACGTACCACTTGGTCAACAGGCGAAACAACTACCTCTCCACGAGCTTCGACTTTCTACGAGGCGCGAGAAACTTGCGCCTCGATCACCGATTGCTCGACGAATTTTCAAAAATCGATGGTCCGAGTCCCGTTAATTACCTATTCATCGGCTATTAAGAAAATAGTAAAAAACTTGTGTTTGACTGGCAAACAAATGAACAGGTTCGAACAGGTCGATGAACAATTGTAAGCAAATGGAAGTTAAATTTGTTGGTTTACGAAAGAAACGTTAATAGTTCGCGGTAGAATCAAACGATTGCTAAATGCTTTGTCGATGTTCGATGAATTTTACAAATCCGAACGATTATCCTCGAACGAGTTACGCGTGGAATTATTCATGAATGCGATACGAATCAGACAAATTTTGCTTATATTCTGAATTGCTATGTTAATCGACAATTCTGTATACCATTAATATTTGATTAACGAAAAAAGTAAATTAAAATACAAATAAACTTGTTCCAGTGCCCATAGTCCAAAAGGTCCCAAGTTTAACGATCAATGTGTCGTTGATCTTTTTTTGTCGTCAAATGTCAGAATGAAAAGGTTACTACATTTTATTATACTTGCTAGAAGATTCAATGAAACGAACGAGGAAAAAAAGGAATTAAAAAAAAAGAAACAAGAATAGTGGAGTGGAAGGTGTTGCGTCGGGATTATTTATCAAGTTGTAATAGTTTTTTGATCCGTGTTTCTTCTCACGAACTCGTTTCGTAACACGGAGTATATTATGCAAATGAAACGAGATCCAGCTAATATATGTATTCCTCGTTCTTTCGAACTCGATGGAATTTACAAAGCCAGGCACATATCGTCGCCTGCCGTGTGCAAGAAGGCTCGCAAACGATGAGGAACGAGCAAATACTAGGTCGACCGGTAATCCACCTGTTGTCGACGATTAATGTCCCGTCCTTGTTGCCTGTTTCTAACACGCGTTCAACGGAGAAAGAGAGATTCGGCTGATTCAGGTGCAGGTTCGTTCGTTCGTCGATCGATCAAAGCCATGAGACTTGGAGGACACGTTGATCTTTTGTTTGAAATACAAAATAATTGCAATTTTTTTAACCGATTTCGACGATTACTTTCATTTGATATTTTCATATTTATTCGGTGTTTGATCGTTTCAGGTACGGATGAGACGGTGAAACTGGTACAAGCCGCAGGTGGCACCTGTTACGGTTACGTCTGCGATCTATGCGACCGGGAGGATGTTTACAAGAAAGCGGCATTGGTCAAGGAAGAGGTTGGACAGGTGAGAATTTCTCATTATCTCGGTGATCTGTCAGAAGATAATTAGATCGACGAATGAGTCACTTGTAAATCAGCGATTTATTGTCTTTCTAATATAAACTAGCAGTATTTGTAGCGTTCACCAGCAGATGAATCATTTGCATCTACTTTCTCGCAAGTCCTAGCTGTTCACTCGATTATACTCTGACCCAATTGTAACTGTACGTTTCATAATGCAGATTATGAACTCGATTAACAGAGCCTGAAGATACCTAAGTATCTTTCTTAGAATTTGAAAACGAATAGGAAAGTTTGCAATGGAACGATAGATATTTCCATTTCGCAAGAGCGACGATTGTACGTAAATGTTAAACGAATTCTAGCATAGCGATTGGGAGGAATTCGGTGGTAAAATGTGTTCGCAAGATCGAAGCGTTCGAGAGTGGATACGCGTCGCGTCGAGGTGGTCGCGCGAACCACCTCTGCTTCTAGGGGACGAGCGAACATTGTGAAATCCTTGGTTGTGCCATAGCGTTGCAATATGTCGCCAATAACGTCGCCCGTCTCGTTCCGAGAAACTCAAAAAAACATGAAATTTATCGATTCGTTTGGTATCTTTTTCTTTTTCTCTTCTTATGTCATTCTTAAATCAACGATGTAAAATTTAATTTTACATCATCCGAACCGAGAAACCTTGACGGAGACCTTGTTACGTCCGGAATGAAAAATTCATCTTATTTGTATGTTGCAGGTGACGATTTTGATCAACAATGCCGGTGTGGTCAGTGGTACGAAATTTTTGGACACACCGGACAAGCTGATCATTCGGACGATGGATGTGAACGTGATGAGCCACTTTTGGGTACGTTTCTGGAGTTTCTCGAAAACTTTTGCAATCCGTCAAAGGACAATCCTAGGACGAAGCTGCTTTTCGGAATAAAAATATCGTCAAAGCGGCGCGCTGTTATCTTGTGAATCTAACCGCGCAACTATTACAGTCAGAATCGTGTTTCTATTCAAAGCAAGTAATCTATTCTCGAGATGACGACACGCACGCTAGATTTATCATAGATCCAGCAAAGAGAAAGAACAGTGCGTCCTTGAGGTGTTCAGAGATCTTTTTCGTCGGTCCGCTGTAATTACCCTCGTCCACGTCAGGTCCACGTGGTTCAGCATTGAGATTCAAAAGCGCGATTCTCTTTGTTCGCGATGAGAAGCGTGAGTGAGAACTGTGCATTCTCGTTGTAGCTGTGTTTAGGCTGGTTGCCGTTGGTCAGGAGAGAAAACCGGTCGCATAGATGCAGCCGCTCGAGCGTGCCGTTACAGTACGCTCGCGTGTCGTGGTTGCGACACGCGAACCGCTTGATTGCCAAACTCAGATATTGCTGGCTAACACCGCTTCCTACTTTGGCAAATAAACTCCACTCACGTTTCATGCGTTCGATTCTTTCCTATAGGAGTAGATGTAACTAATTAAGGCTGGTTAACAAGTAAACTCGAAGAGATAGTTTGTTAATTCTAAATTTACATAATTATTAGCAGGAATCAAATGTAAATCTTTTCAATCTCTAAAAAGCAGTGAGCTATAGAATTTAAAATATTCTTTGAAAAGATTTCGTTCATTGTCGTGATATTGTACTCCGATGCGAATACTCGCTGCAACAAGTTAAAGAAAGAGGTTGTGCGCTCGTTTTACGTCCTCAGAATCCCTTCTCCGCACTCTAATAGCCATGAACGATCTTCTCGAACCGCATACGTTCTTGTAAACAATTCTAAACGCTACTCTCGTAAACGTACGGCAGTGATTGTACCTGGAAGTGCTTTTTCCTTCCTAGCACCGTTTTCGCGAGTCGCCAAGCGTTCGTCGATGTAACGGGATACAGAGTGAAAGTTCACGAGGCGTCATCCGCGCGAAGCATCATCGATGCCGATCAACGGGTTGGCTTTAGCTAGTCGTGTGGATTCGGAGCACGAAGAATGAAAATGATAGCCCAACCTGGCTAAGAATACCGATTCTGCGAGACGTGTTACATCACGGATTTAACGTCAATTGACATATTCATTTTATAATGTGATAAAAAACAATGAGGCAAAACTGGGACAAGGTCTGCCGGTTGTATCGCTCGGAAACTAACGATCGTTCGAACCTTGTAATGGCATTTTTTATTTGCAATTGCTTCTGGAACGTCTGCGTATTTTGTAATGTCGTCGATTCGTGTGAAAACAAAATTTTTATTTAATAGGGAATCTCTGATCAACGAAACACTGTTGGCCAGCACGGTTCTTCTTTGTTCCTTCCCTCTGGCGTTTCAGACTTTGTTCCCACTCGAGGGACACCGTTACGCGCGAATCGTGCGTCGACGATTTTACTTTCAAAAGTGAAAACTAGAAGAGCACGGTAAAGAAAATAGACTAGAGAGGGATCAGGTGAAGAAGTGGGTCAACGGCTTCGTGAAGAGTGCGTCAACCGTGGACCTCTTGCTGCATCCGATGTCACGGTCATTTCGGCAAGATCTCACTTTCCAGTGCCCCTTATTGTTCGCGATCCGACTCGTCCACCTCGCGTGTTTCCTCTTTGTATATTCCTACGTTCGAATAGTATTTACAAGCTACTACTCGTGTTACAGTTATATTTACTTATGGTAATGGCGGTACCGTGTACACTTTAACACCGTTCCCTGTACACGGTAGCAAACGAGTACGTGTATTCAGCTCTCGCGCTGATCAGATCAAAATATGTAACCCGTTACGCCGCTGTATCATTTCCTAGTAATTGCTTCGCTTTAACGCATCGTTCGGTTGTTTTGCAAACAGTTAGTCTGGCATTAACGATTCGGAGTAAAGCGAGGATGCAGGTTTTACGATCAACCGAACGGCTGTGTATTAACGGTAGTAATTTTCCTTGTTAAGACCGCGAAGGCGTTCTTACCGTCGATGATGGAGAACAACAAGGGTCACATCGTGAGCATCGCCAGTCTGGCCGGACACATAGGCGTGCCGAAATTAGTGGATTATTGTACGTCGAAATTTGCGGCTATCGGTTTCGAGGAAGCGCTTCACATGGAGTTAGCGGTAACGTATACATCTTTCGGCTAATGAAATCGATTCAGCATTGTGCAATTGACCTTATTGTTAACAAATTGTTCATCGTACGTTACAGGCCGAGGGATACAACATTAACACGACAGTGATATGTCCGTTTTTCATTCGCAGCACGGGTATGTTTGAGGACGTTTCGCCTAGGTAAGCATTCCACTTTGCAATTATGCAAACCCGTTACTGCTTGTACGCGCTTTTCTTTATCACTTTTACCTGTTTTATTCAGATTCTTTCCGAGACTTAGTCCGAACGAAGTGGCGGATCGAGTGGTGTCTGCTATGAGGTGTAACGAGAAGATTGCCGTTGTACCTGGTTACCTCTACCTTCTGCTCGTCGCAAAATGGTAAATAATTGAAAAAACCACCGACATGGCAATAAATTAAATGCATCGTTTAATTTGATTTATAGGGCTTTCCCATGGGCTTGCGCGGGGATGTTTATACGTGGTATAATCCCGAACGCTACCCATACCGGATGCACGTCGCCCACCTCTACCTCTAATAAAGAAACTGTTCCTAGTGTATTGTCTAAAGAGCAGAACAGTGCGAACATTCATCAGCAATTAACCAGACGCGTGTCCAGTTCCGAGAGGAAGCCTTAAATCGTTTTGTGATCAACCCTTTTAATATCATATCTGACGTATCTTTCGTTTTTATCCGACTACGAAAAGAAGGAGGATACTCAATTCGATGTGTATATTTTTTTTTCTTTTTTTTTTTCTCGAATACAGAACATGGTAAAAAAGAAAAAGAAAATACATATCATTTAGCGTAACGGCAAGAAAGGAACAAGTAGGGTACGTTGTTTACGCCCGTATCGTGTTTTAAGTGTAGAGAAATCGTTTTGTACGCGGTACACGCACGTTAGAATTTACTGTATGTACGTCAGAGAAAAAAGAAGACCTGTCCACGGACAGGTTATTGCATAATATTGGGACATGTTTCGTAGAACGAGACAAGGAAAAATGTAGCGTTGGTAAAGCGATTGTCTTTATCAGGGCTCCACTATCCTGTTGGAGAGACAGCCTAATAGAGAGACTCGTATCTCGTATCGAAAGAGAGTAATGGTAAAAAAATTATATTTTGGTGTTCTTTTGTTAACCTCGTTAGAACAGATAAAAAAGGCAACAACAGACGCACATATACACAGTGACATTAGTAGAAAGAGGAAGGTTTTAAAAGCATATGTATATCAAAATCGTTGGATCTTGTTGTTTAAATGCATTATGTCTCCTGGAAGGCATTGCACAAACTTTCATCGTGTATTTCGATGTTTTTATGTAATAATAATGATATTTTAGAGTTACTTGTTGCTGGTGACATTGCAAGTAAAAAAAACAACTGGTCCAAACTACAGAAGTACAATTTATACAATCGGCAACTATGTGATCAGCACTAACGTAAGGATAGCGTAAGGGTAGAGTAAGGATTTTTCTATTTGTAATTTGTACTTTGTGGTTGTAAAGGAACAAATGCGTGTATATTTATCGAACCGTATGTAGCAACTTAACGAATCGTTGTGAAACGACTCGCCGATGTCAAGCAGGAACAGAAGGAAAGAAAAATAAAGTTTGTGTAATTTTTAAACATTGACCTATTTTAAACTATCGATCTTGATGATTTACGGAGGCAAGCTCATCGTGATGGATACACGATATTATTTAGTACAGAGTGCCATATGTTTTTTCGTGATATACGACCGATTACTTTATAAATGAACATTGTAATAAAATCGGATTTTCTATTTTATCATATTATTTATGCATCTCGAGCTCATTGCCTAGATTTACAAGTAAATGTATCATTTTCTGTTTGAAATATTTGATCGTAAACGACCCAATAATTCGAGAAATCGTATAATTACGCGATTGTCGATGCATAAAGGCATTAGAAACTACGAAATGCAAAATGACCGGCTTTCACTGAGGTTTCGTCGTCTCCTCGAGTTGATTGTTTGCCGATCAACTTCGCTCCATATTTTCTTTCTTCCCTTCAAAAATTATGCGCATCCTTTCTCAAACGACGAGTAATATATTTAAATAATATTCGTGATAATTTTCAAAATATCGATGATCTTGTAGTTAACATAAATGTATCGCGAAACGAAAATACATATAAATGCAGATAGGCGGAAAGGCAGATGTACGATTCGAAACGAGAATTTCACGATTATGTCAGCAATTGATAACGCGCCCGTTTTATACAAGGAAGAGTACATACAGTCGCGGCTTTTTATTTCTTCCCGTTACTGTGTCAACGAAATGCAGCGATAATGGAACAACATACGCTTCGGATATAAATTGCATAAACATTGCATTGCAATCGTATTGGAACGAATAACTTGACATGTTTTTCTATCGTTTTCTTTATCTATACGTGTTTAAAAATCCTTCAGAAGAGTATAGCACAGTTTTCCTCCATTTCATTTTAACTTCTGTCTAATGTAAGTAATTCATTCGTACTGACAGATCTTAATTAGTCTACGTCGACTCTAACTCGTTAGTATTCTTTTCAATCATCGCTGCAGGAATAATGATATCGCGTTACGATACCACATTCGTCATCGCATTATTGAGATACGCTCAAGCGAAATGAAATGTATGCAAACATTGTAGCAAAACATTGACAATACTTACAAGGCTGCTCGTAACAATAAACGAAAACATATCTGTTTCGCGATAACTGCAAATAATACATCAGGTATCGCGAGTCAATAAGTGACCAAGAAAAAGAAAAGCAAGAAACCATCTGTTCATTGCACAAGTGTCTTTCCGACAGAATTACAATTTACAACGAAACGAGCAGCTTTCTTTCCTCGCTCTTCAAAACGAGAAACATAGTTACCGTTTGAGAACTAGGCCACCGGATGAAACGAAATCGTGGCTGTATAATTTCAAACTCACTCTCTGTCGGGAACACCCTGTACATGGAAACATCGATATCGTCTATCTGTCACATGTACGTGACATAGGAGACAATGTTAGCTGGCAGCTAGAATCGTTTAGGTCCACAGCAAAATAGTAACGACGTCGATGACTATGAGATGCGTCCAGTCGAACGCGTTCGCTTCGCCAAGTGTCTGTCGTTTTACATCATACATACTTTGCCGACGAGCGAAACGATCGATCGTTGGAAAACGAAGAAGATCGATGAAAACGTGAGAAGATATTGAATACTAACCGAGCGCGCGACATCGTGCCGGTCTCTATTTGCGACCATTGATTCGGATTCAAGTGGAAGATAAATGTCGATTCGCTGTAACGAAGAGATAGCAAATCGGCACACATTTTTTTCGTCTTTTTTTCCCAACACGTACGAGAACGACGCGTGTCGTTATCGTAGCATAGATAACGAGAACAGTCGCGTTCAGGTACCATTCGGTGCCGATTGCAGAAGTAACGTTTAGATTTATAGTAATCGCGAACGTAGACGAGTTCTCCTCAAGAATGGACCAAAGATTCTCATCGAAAGAAGATCGAGCAGCTGGATGTTGACTGAGATCTTGAAGATGAGACTTCTTAAAGCTGTATTCTTCGCGATTCTTCTGTGCCGCGAATGGGAAGATTCCGAAAGCGCGGAGACGAAGATCCTCAGGTTGTGCGTTTCTCAAAATACCTGTGAAAATTGTTTGCAGGCCAGTTTCTCCTGTTCGTGGTGCAGTGACTGGGTAAATGTCGTTCTAACTGGAACAGTAATGCTTGAATTCATTTTCTATCCCCTGAATCCTTTCGCTTTTAGTTACTTTGCACGTGCTAGTCCGGATAGTTAACTTCACTTTTGTATTTTCAGTCTTATTCGAATTCAACTGTTGGAAGATCACGATGCAACGCACCGGAAAGGTTGAAAGCATTCGGCTGCCCTTTGGATGAAATTCGCAGCAATTCTCTAGGATCGATGGACATCCTGGAGAACTCGGACTTTCAGGACGTGTTGGAAGCAGGACGTACGCCGATCCAGTTGAGGCCCCAAAGAGTAAAAGTCAAGATTCAGTCCCATTCCAAGACCGAGATTCCGATCCGTTATCGGGTAGCCAAGTACGTTTGTTTACTCGATTCATTAATGATAACGACGAGAATTCGTTGAATCGTACCTACGCGATTAATATAACGTTTAATCAGTCTACGGTGAAAATATAAAGATAGAGAAAAATAATTTAGAAATTACCCGTTGGACTTGTACTACCTGATGGACCTGACGTGGTCGATGAAGGACGACAAAGAGACCCTGGCCAGTTTAGGACGAGACATGAGTCGAACGTTCGGCACGTTCACCAAGAATTTTCGCCTAGGCTTTGGCAGCTACGCCGACAAACCCCTGATGCCGTACATATTTCCAGGACACGAGGATAATCCTTGCAAGAGCGAGCACGCTGTTTGCTCGCCCCTTTACGACTTTCAACACCACCTGGAACTGACTCACGATATTCAACGGTTTATCAAAGAAGTATGCGTTTGATCTATCTCGAGATAATCAAATAATCGAAAATTTTTAATCAAGACGAGTTTCAGGTAAATGAAAGCCGTGTAACTGGAAACGTGGACAACTTGGAGGGCGCGTTGGACGGAGTTGTGCAGTCGATCCTTTGCAAGGAACAAGTTGGCTGGGTGCAGCATGCACGTAAGATCATCCTGGTAGCGACCGATGGATACCTGCATTTTGCTGGCGAAGGAAAGGTAACGCGAATCGATATAATCGGCACAGACAGGATGCGTGAGGTGTCTGATGTGTTTCTAATTAGCTAGGCGGTGCTGTGACGCGACAGGACTTCAAGTGTCATCTCGATAAGCGTGGCCAATACTCTCTGGCTACCAAGTACGATTACTGTTCTTTGGGAGAGCTGTCTAGGCTGTTACAGGAGCACAAAATCAACTTGATATTCGCTGTGACCGAGGATCGGCGTAGCGAGTACGAATCAACGGTCGCGTTGCTGAAAGAAAAAGCAAGGGTTGCTACTTTGACCAGCGACAGTTCGAATATACTGGAAATCATCAAAAGTGCTTACCATCAAATCACCTCGAAGGTGATCTTACGCGACAATTCCTCGTATCCACTGCGAATTGAATATTTTTCTAATTGCGGCAACGCGAACGTACTGGAATGGAACACCTCCGAGTGCGAGGATATAGAGGAAGGCCAGGTGTACGACTTCAAGGTTGTCCTGTCGATCGACAAGTGTCCAAGAAACGAGAGTCTATGGGTACATAATTGAATTCAATTAATTTGAATCTTTTACCCTTCCTGTAATATTTACCATGTTCTTTAGAAACAAACAATCGTGATCGAGGATGCGCTGGCCTCTGAGGTATCTCAAGTGGTAGTCGAAGTTGAGCTGGCATGCGGTTGCAATTGCAAGGACTCCGAAGACTCTCCCTGCGAACACGGAACAGACGAGTGCGGTATTTGCAAGTGCAACAACGGTTGGTCTGGTAAGAACAGTAGCTGTAACTCGTGTAGATCCTCTTCGTGGATGGAACTTTAATGTCGATGAATTGAACAGGCGAGAAATGCGATTGCGACGAAAGTTCGCCGATGGACAACAGGTTGCAATGTATAGCCGCTAACTCGACGAAACTTTGCTCCGACAGGGGCGAATGCGTTTGCGGCAGCTGCCTTTGCGACGAGGGCTACACGGGACAATTTTGCGAATGCTCAGGATGCGACAAGGTGATCATTATAAGATATTAACGGATTAAAAGCACCGTCGAGTCAAATGAATCCTCTTCTAGATCGATGGTATAGAATGCTCGAACAAAGGAATTTGTAAATGTGGTGTCTGCCATTGTATCGAAGGCTGGCAAGGAAATGCCTGCCAGTGTCCATCGACCGATGATCCCTGCGTGGCACCAGGAAGCAAGGAAGTCTGTGCTGGTCACGGCTACTGCGATTGTGGAGAATGTCGGTTCGTGCGTTTTTACATAACTCTCGTTAAATTGTTCAATTTTGTAAACGACTGAAATTGGTGTCCGTTCAGATGTAATGTTACAGCGACAGACGGTTCTTATTATCGGGGCACTTACTGCGAATCGTCGATCAGCGCGGGTGGTAGTGCTCTCTGTATTCTTTACAATCCTTGCGTGAATGCCACCATCGAAGATCCTCAGAATGTGGACGAATTTTGCCAGACTAACGAAACCTCTTACGAAACCAAACTAGTCGACTCTGTTGACAAAGGTAACAATCCACTTGATAGATTAATGAATCTTAATTTCGATATCATTAGAATATTGTTATCTCTTGTGTTTCGTAGGAAACGAACACTACTGTGTTGTAAAAACGAAAAAAGATCAAACGATCTGTATCATACCGTACGTATACGAGTTCCAGCAAAACAATGTTGTTTCTTTGAAAATCGGAAGCAAGGTAAGATACACAGCTTATTGTACTGAATATTTTTATTACGTTTCTCCCTTTTTTTCATCGAGATCTTCTGACGATTCTAGTATTGCAGTACTCCGATACATACAGCAGTCATTTCATCTGTGATCATCTTTGTAATATTATTTATTGGAATCATTTGTTTACTGATTTGGAAGTAAGTATCTCTCGAGTAAACTATGATTAAATTGCAATTTCTTTTTATAAACGTTTATTGTGTTTGCATAGGTGTTGGACTTCCATAAAAGACAAAAGAGAATACGAGAAGTTCATACAGGAACAAAAGAAAACTGTGTTTAGTTTGAGCGAAAATCCTCTGTTTAGGCCCGCGACATCTCGATTTAGGGTACCCTCCATATACAAAGAGGATTAATCGAGAACAATTAGGCTATAAAAGTGCATTCATTGAATTAATTCAGTTCCCCTTCGCCGAAAGACTCGGTAGAATGCGTGGTGCTTTGATCAGATAATAGATCACGCCAGAAATGATTTCCAGGAGAAAAAGAAATCGCCTGTAATTACGATTGCAATGTTAATCTTACATCATAATTAGTGATCTAAATATTTTTACATTATCCGTCACGTTTACAAGTGTCCATTCAAACCCTCTAGGTTCTCTGTAGATAACATTCGTAAGTGGTTTGTTATTGACCCAATCAGCCTCAATTGAAGATCCATCCGGAAATGTATACGTTCCAGGACCGTTCATTGTACCGTTTGGTTCGACTCTACCTCGATACTGAGCGTTGTTATTATACCTTTAACAATTAAATTTAACTTTATTTATTATCGTTATGTAATAGCATAGTAATAAGTAGGAGCGAATTCCAATTACCGAATGTGAATTGTAGTGTCGGCAAAAGAATCATTGTTCCATTCGCCATCGTAAACGTCAAAGTTATCGGTAGTATATATTCCTCTTCCTGTGTAAAATATACACGATTAATAATGTTTAAAAGAGAATGAGTGCTTTACAGAACATCGACCTTCTTTGACTAAAACAGATTGGGTATAATTCCATCTATATTCGCCGTTATATATATCTCCGTTATGAAATGTAAATTTTCCAAATCCAGTTTGATCCAAACTTTCGGTAATATTCGTCTTCGTCGTTTTACCGGTACCTCGTTTTTTCATATTTAAGATTATGTATAAAAGATTATTGAAGCTTTGAATTTTAAAGAATAGGAAGGTCGGTAAGGTGATTAAGTTCCTCTAATCGCCACTGATATCGTTAGCGCTAAGTAAAACGTAAGTCAACGGATCATAGTATGTATGTACCGTTCTATTTTATCATTGACATCGTTGGTTATAAGCCAAGAAACCTTGACATAAAATTCGATTTTGGATCAAACAAAAACGGAATATTGTTATTGTTTTATTTTTATCCTCTTTTTTTCGGTTCGATGACATTTTCTAATCTGCGATTAATGATCTCTGCCCCATTTGAAAACTACCTTTAAACTTAATGCCACGTGACCTTGTGAACGACCTCTCATTCGGTACATTCGTATCGTCCGTTCCTAGTTCGCGATAACCCCACAGTACTGACACGCTCGGAACACGTTCGTTGTCCGAGTGTTTTAAAGAAAAACTTCGTGTAACGTGGAATTTCTCGCGACTTGCTACTAAAATCGGTAGTAAAAGATCCTCGAATCATTTGAGATATGATACGAACGACAACAGGTCTGCGCAATGAATTGGCACGCGCTATACTACGAAATTCCGTCCGGACGACCACCGTAAGGTGCATGGTACGATGTCTTCACAGAAAATATCTACAGAGGTATTTAATATTTTTGTCACAATCACATTTGTTTCTTTATAAAATGTACTGTCGTTTCTTGGTTAAAATTTACACTCATATTAGCTATTAAAGTTACCTTAATGAATGAATGAATGAATGAATACTCATTACCATTACTCCCAACTTCCCATTCTCCTTCAAAGTTCTATTTCCACCTGTTGTTTCTCGATTACATTCAAATATACACACAGTCGCAATCTTAAAAATTTCATTTTTGTTAAACAAATATTTTCACAGAGGAAGTTGTTGCATCCAAGATCTTCAGTCAGCTTTCCACTGTCTTCTAATTCTTAACATTTTTTAGAGTAAAACAGTGCTTTCTTGTTTGGTGTTCAGGATTCAGGTACACAATACCTTAAGTCTTATGGTGATCCCAGGAAGGCAACAAGTTAGATTTTATGCTGATTATCCTGATCATCTCAGAGTACAACTTCCTGCATTATCACCTACTATGGAAACTGGTACTATTGTTAGTTGGCAGAAAAAGGAAGGTGAGGGATACAGTTCATTACAATTGATTAAACCATTAATGATTTCTAATTTCTTATAACTTTATTATAGGTGACAAGTTGAATGAAGGTGACTTACTAGCAGAAATTGAAACTGATAAAGCAACAATGGGCTTTGAAACACCGGAAGAAGGCTACTTGGCAAAGATTTTAGTACCAGCAGGAACAAAAAATGTTCCTATTGGAAAACTTGTTTGTATAATTGTATCAGATGAAGCCAGTGTAGCTGCTTTCAAAGATTTTAAAGATGACTCTCCAGATGTCCCAGCAGCTGCACCTCCTGGCCCTGCACCAGCTGCTCCTACACCATCTACTCCTCCTCCATCTCCAGTAACACCACCAGCACCTGCAGCTGCAAAACCAATGGGTGCTCCAAGCGTACCATCCGGTGATAGAATATATGCCAGTCCATTAGCTAAAAAAATTGCAGCAGAGAAAGGCCTCAGTTTGCAGGTAACTTTTAAGTTAGGTTTATATTACTATATCACTGATTACATTGTATGTTAGGAATCGTAAATTTTAAACAATTCCGGCTTTAAAGGGCTTAAAAGGTACAGGACTGTATGGATCTGTAACAGTAAAGGATTTAGCAGGGGCACCGGCGATTGGTGCTCAACCAGCAGCAGCAGTAGCAGGAGCACCAGCAATGGATGTTCCAGCAGGAATGGATATTCCTGTATCCACTATTAGAGCAGTAATTGCTAAACGTCTTTTGGAAAGCAAACAAACTATCCCACATTACTATTTATCAGTGGATATAAACATGGATGCCGCTTTAGCAATGCGGGAGAAATTTAATAAAATGTTAGAAAAAGAGAAAGTAAAACTCAGTGTAAACGATATTATTATCAAAGGAATGGCGATGGCCTGTAAAAAAATACCTGAGGGTAACAGTGCGTGGATGGGTGATGTTATTAGACAGTATGTTATCGCCCTGCTATTCGTTATATGCTTTAAACAATTGATTTCCAAATATTTAATGTCGCAATATATTTTTTTTAGATTTAACAATGTTGATGTCTGTGTAGCGGTTAGTACAGAAAACGGCCTAATTACACCAATAGTTTTTAGTGCAGATACAAAGGGTATAGTTCAAATCAGTAAAGATGTTAAAGCATTGGCTACTAAAGCAAGGGAAGGAAAATTGCAGCCACAAGAATTTCAAGGAGGAACTATCACTATATCAAATCTAGGAATGTTTGGCATTAAAAACTTTTCTGCCATTATAAATCCTCCTCAATCCATCATCCTTGCCATAGGTACTACTGAAACAAGACTGGTACCTGCCGACAATGAGAAAGGGTAAGTACATCCTAAGTGTTATTAATGTTTTGGATCTAATATCTGCATCGTTGTTTTAGATTCACAACTTCTCAATTTATGTCCGTCACTGCCAGCTGCGATCATCGTACTATAGACGGTGCTGTAGGAGCTCAATGGTTAGCTGTCTTTAAGAACTTTATGGAGAATCCAACAACTATGCTGTTGTAGTAAGTTCGATCGTTGAAATATCCATTCGGGTAGTTGAAATAAGCTCAAATTATATAAGAAAAATATTGTTCTGTTCAGGTACAAAAAGGTGATGATGAGTGTCCTGTATATTTGTGTATAGTACAATATTAAATTATATTACTTTACGCATTTGTAAATTGTTGATTTTTGATAGGTTCAAAATTTGAAGGGCACATTTTCTTTTTCTTATTTGAAAAAAATGTTGCGTCATTCAGCGATATTTCACTAACATCATTAGGCCCAATTTCCTTCTATTTAAAAAATTTTACATATGTGGTTTTTCACACAATGTGAAGTACAAGACTGACGATCAATTTCAGAGCAGGAAGACAAGTATTGTTAAATGTTTTTATAGGAACATCTTATTTTGTCGTTTATAAAACCTTGTTACTTGATTATTTATTTGAATGAAAAACCACAACAATTTTTCTTTAGCAATAGTGACCACCTGTAAATATGTGTATTTATGAGATAATTTTATGGTCATCATATTGCGATAAATATAATTGTAAATTAGGGGAAATTTATTAAACAAAAATGTGTCAAAATGTTTATAGTAAATAGTACACTACACGTAAATGTGTGTACCATATTTAATAAATTGTAACTTAACAAGTTTAAGATTATATTTATTTCTTATCATGTATTATAAATAAATAGATGTATTAAACAATAACTGGAATAATTGCATAATATGTAACTATCTGTAAAAATTTCATAAACAGCAGTTAGTGATTACAAATTCAACAGGACTGAACATGGCATGGCTGGTTTTGGGGTTCCAGACAACCCATGATGAGATTAGATCTGCACATACAGAACACAGTTATTAAGACCGTGACTGTCTTACCACACCAATCACTATCAACTGATCTTTGATTCTATTTTATTAGAAATCAGTTAAAATCAGCACAAGACTGAAAAATTATTGAAACAATTGTTTGATGAACTTAGATTCGCAAACTTATACTTTAAAAAGACCGCCATAAATTTAAAGAAGGGAGCACTATCGCCATCTATCGGGAAACAACGGAAACTACTCGATAATTTGCAGACTACCACATGATAAGTAAGAAGTGCTTCATTACCTACTTCACCTGGGGTTCCCTAGAACCCTCAGAACGATAAGTAACTCCTTGAAAACAAAGGTATTCCCAATCATTTTGTATCTATAGTTTCTGCAGCCGTGTAATCGTAATAATCGAAGTACCATCTGTATAAGTTTGTATTTTTGTGTCATAAGGTTGTTTATGAAGAGTTGTGGATACAATAAAAATTTAAATTATTCAGTATGCCAATTTTAGATAAACGTAAAGGGGATGATATTTTAGCATTAGTTCCTGCTTCAAAAAGGACTAAAAATGAAGTGGTCTTTAGTAGCAGAGAAAAAGCAGTTGTACAGAATGTAAGCGAGACTAACCTTAACTCGACATGTTTTTCAGGTCATTTTCATAATAAAAACTTATTTTATTACTATATAGGGACCACCAAGAACATCTAACTTATTTGCACCAATTATGCTCCTTGAGGGCCACCAAGGAGATATATTTTCTCTTGAGTTTCATCCTGAGGGTCAATATCTTGCTTCTACAGGCTTTGATAGACAAATTTGTATGTATTTAAATATGTGTGACTTGAAAATATTTTATGCAGTTAAATATGTAATAACAATTTCCAGTTATTTGGAACGTATATGGTGAATGTGAAAATATTTCTGTAATGACTGGACACAGTGGAGCAATCATGGAATTACATTTTAGTCCTGATGGTAATCATTTATACACAGCTAGTACAGATATGACACTAGGTCTATGGGATATAGTGGCTGGAACTAGGATTAAAAAACTGAAAGGTCATACCTCCTTTGTAAACTCTGTTTCTGGAGCAAGGAGAGGTCTTACACAACTTTGTTCAGGTAGTGATGATAGTACTATACGTGTTTGGGATCCTAGGAAAAGAGGACAGTGTTACACACTAAACAATACATATCAGGTAAAGAGATGTTTTGTGAGAATTTAAATTACACAAATTCTTGAATTTATCAACATTTGTTTATTTCCTTTGTTTACATAGGTCACTGCTGTAACATTTAATGACACAGCAGAACAAGTTATAAGTGGTGGAATAGATAATGATATAAAAGTCTGGGATTTAAGGAAAAACTCTATTCTTTATAAGCTTAAGGGACATTCTGATACCATAACTGGATTAAGTCTTAGTCCAGATGGTTCCTACATACTTTCTAATGCTATGGATAACACATTAAGAATTTGGGATGTAAGGCCGTTTGCTCCTTACGAACGTTGTGTTAAAATTCTTTCTGGACATCAACATAATTTTGAAAAGGTGTGTTTTCGGATTTTTTCACATGCACTATTGAACTTCGTAATTTCATTTATTTCGATAATTACAGAATCTTTTGAGGTGTGCATGGTCACCAGATGGTAGTAAAGTATCATCTGGATCATCAGATAGGTTTCATTATGTTTGGGATACTACAAGTCGTAGGATATTGTATAAATTACCCGGTCATAATGGTTCTGTAAACGATATCGATTTTCATCCAAAGGAACCAATTGGTAATGCATACAAAATCGTAGATATTAGTATATTTTACAATCATTCTAAATATATTCTTTTTTTATAGTTTGCTCTGGATCTAGTGATAAACAAATATATTTAGGAGAAATTGAAACGACACAGTAAAACGACACATTCATTAATTTTTATACTTAAGGACTTGTTGAAAACAAAATAGTTCAATATAAAATTTAATTAAGTAAAAAATCCTAAATTTCCTCCAGAAATATATTTTAAACCTTCCTGTCTCTTTAATTTGCTACACCAAGATAAGTTACAACCAAAATATTACTATACCGCAGTTCACCAGAGCATAACTGCGACGCGCAGGTTGGAAGATGGTGGGGGAACGCAGCGAGCTCTCTGCTAATCGCTTTCCACTTCGTTTGGGAGTATCGCCAATCAGGGCGAAGATGCGTACTGGAGATGCGCAAAGAACGAAAACTGGTCTTTTCGCAGTTATGGACTCTGGTGAACTGCGGTATACATCGATTGAATGTATCGATGTTTTTGCGAGTTGACATTGATTTAACTTCATGTCATATTTACGTATATATATACACTTGAGTCATATACACGACTTCAGTGTGTTCCTGTTCACAATCATTTATCTCTTTATTTATTTCCGTCTTCCAAATTTTTTAATTTAGTCATTCTATTTTTAAGGTAAATCTGATTCTTTTAATTTTCTTTTAAATCTTTAACAAACATATCATGACCATTAATGTCGTTTTGCAGTATCATTTAGAACAATCAGAAGGATTGCACAATTTCGTGAAATAAAATTTGTATGCAATTAAGATAAAATTTTAGTTACAATAAACTGGCAGAAGTTTTAACTTCATTTTGTATGAAAATTCGGCATTGATGTACTTTTAAATTAATTCAGTGTTTTGTGCTATGTAACTTAACCTTCATTTACGTATCTATAATCATTAATAAAAATAGAATAAAAATATGTTTCCTTATCCTGTTATATTCTTTAATCCTGTATTTTTTAGGTTTATATTCATTAATTATTATTACGATGTCGACTCCATGGGCAAAAATTCAACCAGTAGAAGGGCCTGTCAGTTTAGTGGAGATAACTTCAGAACAACTTGCCAATAGTTTGCAAGAGAAGTAAGCTATAAACAATTGGTTATATCTATTATTATTTCATTTTTATAAATATATATTTATTATTTATTATGTTTGAAAATCAAAAGTAAAGAAATCCATTTTTTCTTTTAATGGTAGAGAAATAAAAAAGTACCAGACTGAAATAACAAATGATGCGGATATTGAAGATAGTACAATATATGAGTCAAATGATACAGATAATGATGAAGTGATTGCACATATGTTGCAAGATCAGTATAACAAAGAATATGATCAGATATTAACACGCACAGAGGAAAAATTCAATCGTGATGCTAAAGGTAATATTAATTTTTTATTAAATTACATAGTAAATAAATTATTTTTATTCTTTGCAGTTAATACTATTTATGCAAATCATCGAATTCGTTCATTTGATGACTATGATGATAAAGACACAGATGTTGAAAATACAACAAGAGATTTTGATAGATTTGTGGTAAGTATGCCACAAATATATTCCCCAGGGTAGAGGAACCCGGGGAAGCCGCCGGAGAAACCCGGGAGAGCGTCTAGGGAGGCCCAGGAACCCGGGGGTGATCGCCCCTGGGTAGGGATGATAATTTCCCTAGACAAACCTATCGTGCTAGGAATTGTGTAAATCTAATGGATTTATTATGTTTATAGAGTATTGAAAAGGAGTATGCTTCTATACCACGTTGTGGGTATAAAAAAATGGGTGAAGGATCACAAATTGTCACTAAACATGATATGCTCATGTCTTCAAGGATAAATGCCTGTAGAGTTCTGCAATTTCCTCCTGGTATTGACACAGGAGACACAGGAGGATTTGATGTTAAATTGAACAATAAAGTATTTAACAGCTTAAGAGCTCATAGTCATGCTCAGTGTTATAAACGAAAACCGAAAGCAAAACCACATACAAAATAAAAATGATAATATACCCTAAAAATGTAAATATGTTGCAATAACATATTTGAATTTATTTCTCTTTTTAAATCATGGATTTATTTCGACGTGTAATATATTATATTACACTATGTATAATGTATTAAACATTTTCAACAAATTTGTATGGGTGGGTTTTAAGTTCAAATAATAATGTGTAATTATTTTTAACATTAACTGCTTTATTAAATGTTATACAGTCAGTATCATTAGAAATAAATACATATCCCCCCTTGGTAGCTTACTGTAATATGTTCTGATCCGTACTTATTTTTTTCGAACAGCGTGAAACAATAATAAAATTAAATGGGGATGATAAAACTAAAAGCTGTAAATACGCATTTGGAAAAATAAGGATAATTCAATTTTGTTAGTTCTACCAAGCAACCGCTAGATGTCTATAGCATTTCAGTGCCCATAAAACAGTTATTTCAATATCTCGGAGCACATTTTTGATATATGATATATCACGAAATCTAATAAGTTAAAAACGTGAAGTATTGTAGAAAAAGTAAGAAAAATTTAGTTCCATTTAGTTCTGTCAGACTACACCGAAGAGATTAGGTATCTTCTATAGTCCACGAAATGCACATTTTTCCATTAAAAAAAGTTTTTGTTAATAAGGAAACAATTTTTACTAATATTTGTTAAATCAGTGCTGACGATAACTCATTTGAAATGAATCTGAAGCGCGTGCTTCTGCGCCGGCGCGTCATGCCGCCATTACGCCGGTAAGGGCTGCGCACGCACCTCGAGTCACGTTTCCCTCAGACGAAGCGTCAGTTACCGCCGCGCCGCCGCACGATTCGTAGTTTTCGAAGTTCTCTCGTCACAAGAATATTTCGTTTTAATTATACGTGGATTATCGGTTCAATTTAACAATAAAATAAGCGTAAACATTATGTAACTGAACAATACGTCGTCGAAGTAATATAGTACATTAAATATCTTCGATATTAACAATGCATTGTTCGCGAATAAAGTTGTCGGCTTAATGACTTCTCAATTTTCAATCAAAGAACTACTGCGTGTATCAGATTAATCTTTTATTCAGTGAAATCGTGTTTTATTACAGTAATTCGGTTGTGAAAGTGACAATTCAGCATCAACATGGACAAGTAGTCTACTGACAAGGACATTGTTTTTGACAACGACGCCATTAAGGTAGGACTCATTGTCAATGAATATTTTATTCTTATTTGAAAAGATTGTAAAACGAATTACGTATAGAATGTAACATTGAAAGTAGAATAACAAACCTTTGACTATTACTAATGACAAAGAATCGTTCAATGGTTAAACCTATTGTTCATAAACTTATTCATACTGCTTTGTTTCTTTCAAATGTAATTTGATACATTGATGAAATAGTGCGTTGTTGATGTGTACACGTTACATATACAATGTTAGGTTTACACATATTCTTTTACGATTCTTCATGAAAGAATTCGCTCTTGGTTCGTAAACTTAGATGTTTAGTAACCGAACGTGTACGCGACCTTCCGTGTTTTGAAGGGAACTACAGTAAGTTGAAACTCGTAAAACCGAAATACATAGGTATACGACGTAAATAGGTTAAAGCTTGTAGAGCAAATACGGCACCTGAACGGATTAATTAATTTGCATTCATTCTGATAGGACAGTTTAATAAAATACTATATTTATGTATGTTTGTGTAAGCAATAGAGTTTCGAAATTATTAATTACTCCATTTAAAATAAAACGATTACATTGCAATTTATCACACGTTGAATGTCACAGTGAAAATGGATATTTGTTGCAGAACATATTTGAGTTTATTATTATTAAGTCTAATTATTATTAAAAATAGAAATGGTTAATTTTTAAATTTCAAATTTTAAGCTTTCTATTTGCTATTTTACACTATTTGTAGAATAACAATATTATTTATAATAATGTTTTTTTTATTGTTTTCTTTTAATTATTTAGTCACATGCGACCCCCGTGGCATTTAAAGTGCTAAATTAGTATTCTTTCTTTGAGAATTAAAAATTGTAATTAATAGAATCCAATTATTCTGCATTTTAATTCGGTTAAGGATTACTGGAATGGTTTCTTAATGGAAGTTCCAAACTTGTTCATTGCTCTGAGTTTCTAAAGAAAAATGAATTTCACCCAGTTAAAGTTTAGTCGAGACTCCATTGTTACCCATCAGATTTTTAGTCGTTTGATTGTTTCCCACTCTGTACGTATTTCAAACTTTCTTATTCACACCGGAATAGCAACAATAACAACAACAAAAGTCAAAGAAATATTGAAAATAAAATTGTTTAAGGTAGTACTTTAACTTTCTTGAATACATCAGTCAAAATGTTATATCGATGTGCTTCTTACTTGGCAAGGGTTCACTGAATTCCAAATGGGTTATTCAGATCATAGACAAGGGTTAATTCTTTATCGTTGGTAGATCGGAACTTCGTTGCATGCACCTTCTTATCATCGTCGCAGCTCGACCTTTCGTTTCTGTTTTTCTTCTCGTGTCTCGTACCTTTAAAATAACGGAAAATCATTGGTTACTGTCGAGCTAGATTTCCTTGATAAGGAAATGCAGTACGGTGGATATCTTTATAGATTAATTTCACCCTAACGCGCACCTTTAAATGAAATAAATTGTAGGAGAAATTATTCAGGGGAACGAGCAGCGACGCGTGATTCTTTGCAAGTAGAATACGACGGTAATGATCAGCCACCTTTGGCTCGAGCAAATTGCCTTATTAACAACACCTATTACAACTTTTTTCAACGAACATTTCCTGCCGATTATACCAGATCATGGTTAAGATTTCACCGTGAAATTTAATGCGCGATATTTTCCAAACATTTATTTCGCGTGCATGAAAAATATATTTATCGTCGTAGATAATACTCGAAGAAAATTCATTACTCACACGAACGATTAATTTTTCAATTGTCAGTGTAATATCTTTTTGCAATTTGCAATTTTAATTTCCTATGCATTACCTACCTTACAATATTAATGTTACTCAGAATTACAATTTTTCTTCTTTCCAATTAATTAAATTCAATTTATAGGACTGATCAGTGGTGATCTCCACCGCGTTCTATATGTTAATCATTTAATTAATTAGAAATTCTCAGCACTGCTTATCTCTACAATATTGAACGGGTTAATTATGCAAATAATTGTAGATAATATCTATCCTTGTTTATCGCCTCGTAAGAAAGTTCGTGTTGAACAGTGTTCGTATAGGGTTGCGTAAAATAAGATTTTTAATCGGACATCTGGCGAAGGTTGTCCGCCACTAATTGCTTCTTGGTTAGGCTTCAATTAAATCTCAATTGGCTATCGACTAGCGTTTGGTCAAATCTTGGTTAACCACGAGTCGAATCTTTGTTCCTGGTCTGGCTGTAATTAGATTCAAGTCGACTTCCAGTTAGTTTTGAAGCTACCACATTCAGCTAGAAAATCCGATTATCTTCGTTGTTCTAATTATCATTCTTACGTCTTTACCTTCCCTAGGGTCATCATTTCAATTAAATACCATTTTATTTCATTTCCTTTGCCAGGTTCACAAATTTCATAAAATAGAGGATTATATAAATTTTACAGTAGAGCATAGTTAGTTGAAAAATATATGGAATTTTAAAAATTAATTCAGATATTCCGTATTGATGGGCCTTCTTTCCTCCACGGTCAGTCTCCTAGAGGACACCGAGGGGGAAGGATGGGACCCATGTACAAGTTTCATCTTAGCAAGAGAAAAGTTTTCGTTTTATCGATAAAAGTGTATCGCTGACGGTTAATTGATAGGTCGTTTTAACGTACCGTTAGCGAGATTCACGTTGCACCTCTGCACGCTTGGTATGATGAAGAGAATGCAGCATCAGGTGCTCTCACGGTTAATGGCCATGTTGAGAGCATTATTGGCTGACCTTCGTTGTATCTCTTCATCTTTGTTCCCGACACGTGTACTTCCACGGTCAAAATAAACGTGGTTTACATCAATCGACCTAATTTCGAACTTTCAAAGCTTCCTTGTCGTGTCTCAATGCGAATAACCCCCGGGCAAATTTGCTAGACGGGACCCGTTTAATCGATGCTTCAATTAATTGCACTCAGACGATGTAGTATTCAAATTATATCCCTCAGGGATGTTTCTTGGATCTTATCTTGGATTTATCTACTTACTAATGCTCTCTTTTTATCGATACACAAGAGGGGGTTAAGTAGTTTCAGAAATTTGTTTAGAAATTAATTTTTCATCGATGGGAGGTAGTTAAATTTTTGAAATTTCAAATAGAATCAAATAGAATCACAACCGGGTTGATTTATTTTAATTTTCTTTGTGAACTGGAAGATCTGATTTATACTCTGATAAAATTAATACACCGAAGATAAATCTAACAATAAGTCGCAGTAGAATATAGAAATTGATTTAGCATGGATATTTTGGAAACGTTTGATACAAATCTTTCGGCCGATAAATTCAGGGAAATAGGTCGAGGGAATATGTGAAGTTCTCGTACGAAGAGAGTTAACGCGATGATATCATGCAAGGGGCTTAGGATCGGCAGAGGTCAATGAAATTTTCTCATAAACTAGAAGGCCACTAATAGAAAATTCACTGATGATTTCTGCTGAAAGTAACGAGGATCAACAAGATGTAGGATCGTCTGTCGTCGATTTTAGGAGCTGATGTAACGTTTTGCAGGATTTGTAAGATGAATTACACGTCCCAAGGTGAATCCTCCATAGTAGACGCAAATTCATTAGCTCGTAAACCGATCGTCGGATGTTTATTAATGTCATGTTGGTTGCTGCAGCTTTTCTCATTAAACTTGCATTCTTCTCCCACTTGCATTCTTCTCGTTGCACTTCCAGACCTTTCACGATGCACTTTAAGAGAATTTATGTTGCCCTTAGAAGCAGTAATAATTCAAAGTATTTCTTGCACCATTTTTTCAAACATTATTTTTGCAATGTATGAAAATTATTCGGAAATTATTATATATTTCGAGGTTCTGCTAGAAGAAAGATACTTGGCGATTGTAAACAATTGTAATTGGAGAAATGGATGGTTAAACGGAGTTTAGACACGAAACGTGTAATTTTCTTTACAATGCGATACATACGGCTAATCGATAGCCTGGTTTCGATAGGATTGTTGCACATGCGGTCGCGTACTATCGAATAAAGACGAGGGAAACTGGGAAACCCTTTGGTTAGCTCCTCTTTTTCCCAAGGGAACCTCTCGTCTGTGCAAGAAGCATCCTCCTGCACGGAAGCGGTGATAACGCGTCAACAGACCATATTCCCTTTCTTTATTTGCTTTCGAGAACTCTTGCCTGGTCATCTGACCGTCTTTCACTGGCAACGAATAAAAATAAACCTTCCTAGTACGAAGCAGCTTCCTGCACTTTCCTCCGCCTGTTTGCAAATGTTTTGTACTTTCCTTTCGAATTATTTATTTGAACTTGAATGCAGTTACTTCCAGACACGGAAGTCGATGTAAAACGCGCAGTATTTTACTGCTCTATCATTTTCTATTCTCGATTTGAAATATTTCATGCATTCTTTAAAAAATCGTAATTACACCTTAATTAATTATTGCTCGATATTTCCATTTACAATTACGTTAGAGAAATAAGTATGTTTCTAAAATTGAAATTTCTATGAAATACTTGATGTCCACTCGCGATCAAATCATATTTCCAAGGGAAAATAGTGATATTCCGTGTTTCCACCCTTTCCCGCAGGCGTCCCTGGGGAAAATGACAGAGTAGCGAATGAGACTTCATACAATTTTAAGCGAGAAAATTTGAATTAATATTTGAATTAATTATTTCAACATATAATATTATTTTCTTTCTAAACGACTTTTGACATTAATATCATAAAAATAAGGATTTTGAAAATTCTCCCTTCCCTTATATCACTATTTTCCTAAAGGAAGTCTGATTTGATCGCGAAGGTCCATAACGACGTGGCAGAGGGTTGATGCACACTGGGTAAAACGAGTTAAATACAGATTCATTAAAAACACAAGAGGTACATTAATCTTTATTTTCTTCGATACATTAATCTTTGTTGATCGACGATTAGTCTAACAGAATAAATGAATCGTTTCGAAGGGTGCTTTCTTGGAATGAACCGAGTTTCTCTTCCCCAGGAGAATTGTATT